ACGGGACCTCGAGGCCGTCACGAATGAGCGGCACGCATTGTCTCAGACAGTTCAAGAGATGAAGGCACAACTCGCCCGGGCTGTTGCGCGTGCGGAAGCAGCAGAGGCCAAAGCCGCATCAGATGCTTTGGAGAAGGAGAAGCAGCGGACGGCTCAGTTGGAAGAGGAACTTGCGAGTGCGAAGATTGAGCGCCAGATTAATGAGGAAAACTTGAGAAGGGAAGTTGCAGATCTTAAGGAAGGCATAGAGCGAGAGAAGGAGAAGGCTAGGATACTTGAGGCCGAGCTCAAGGGGGAGCAGTCTGTCCTGGAGAGCAAAATGGAGGCGCTGCGCTCTAAAGCAGAAGAAGCCTCGTCTGGTTCTACTGGTGAAACACAGGCCAAACTTTTACGCCAGATCGAGACATTACAAACGCAGTACGCAGTCGCTAGTGAGAATTGGCAGACCCTCGAGGGTTCGCTACTTTCAAGGCTAGCCAATGTGGAAAAAGAACGGGACGATGTCACAAGGCGAGAAGGGGAAATGCGACGAAAGATGCGTGAAGTGGTAAGCACGGCCCTCGTTGCGTTGTCAATCTTAGTTGCTGGCTAACACCAACATAGAATCTCAAAGCGAAGAAGCTTGAGGAAGAGCTCGAAAATGCAAAGGAGACCCAACACGACCTGGAGAGCAAACTTGAAAGCCATGTTCAAGAAATCCAGAAGCTGGATCAGAAACTCAGAAAAGCAGAAGACGACTTGGTTGCTGCACAAAAAGACTTCGCTGAGCAGAAGAAGGTGTGCGATGCGACATGGGCTCAGAAACTTGAGGGCGAGAAGATGAAGTGGCGGGAACACGCACTGTCCATTCAAAATTCACTCCAAGAACCGCGTACTCAGTCGCCTGTTGCGCTCAGTCGTAGACCGAGCAACCTTGACACAACCGGGGCGTCTCTGTCTGACTACAGGCCCACGAGTCGCCGTTCTTCAACGCTCCTCACGACATCATCAGATGTGGGCACTCCCCCGCGTCAGAATTCCCTTCCTGTTCCCGTCCTATCCCCACCGATGTCAACAGGTCTGTCAAACCCTCCGATAATGGAGTCTCCAGTCATCACCTTTGAGCCGGATGACTTCTTCAGCGGCTCTGTGACACCGGCTACCCCATCTGCTTATGGATTTCCCCCAAGTCATCATTCGCGAGGTATCAACGACATCATTTCGGAGTCGACTGTCGGCGCTGGGCCATCTGTTCAGCTAGTTGAGCGTATGAGCGCTACGGTTCGCCGCTTAGAGAGCGAACGAGCCGCTGCCAAGGACGAACTTGCACGAATCACCAGGCAACGTGACGAGGCTCGAAAGCAGGTTGTTGACCTCATGCGAGAGTCAGAGGAAAAGAAGGCCTCTGATGCTCGGGTGAAGGAGCTGGAGACAAGACTTGAAGACTTGGATCAACGCTACCAAACAACTCTGGAGCTGCTTGGCGAGAAAAGCGAGCAAGTCGAAGAACTCCAGGCTGATATCGCTGATCTCAAAAAGATATATCGGGAGTTGGTCGATAGCACCATGAAATAAGGCCTATCCCTCCACTGGTCTCTTTTCGGAAGAGCCATTGACTATGCTTCTCTCGTTTCTTCCTTTCTTGTGTATATATTTGTTCCCCTGGAAACTTTTCCTCCTTCAGATCTAGAAGATCTCATGTATACAGACTACTCTCTGATAGAACATTCAACATTTCAAATCAGTGGTTCGCTTTATGATTAAGTCCCATTCTAATCATGGAGATGAGGAATGAGGCCCTGGGTATCCGATACATATTACACGGTAATCGCTCTGCAGTAAAATATTCTGGCTGCGTTCAAATCAAAAGTTCAATACCCTCTCTCTCGGCGGTCTGCAAGATATATTTCTTAACCTAAAGAGATCGAAAGTCAGCTCGTTTATACATCAGCCACGTAAATCGCGGACAACTCACTTTCGCATCAGGCGCCATCTCAATAGCCAGACGACCTTCAGAATCCTTCTTGTCGGCCTCCGCACCAGCCTTGAGCAATGTAATCGCCGCATCCCCATGACCCTCAGAGATGGCATGATGCAGAGCTGTTAAGCCATCGATATCGGTAGCATTGACCGGGCTCTTCCCTTCCTCCAGGAGAAGTTTGATGATAGGGATGGATCCGATCGCCGCAGCGCGGTGAAGTGGTAATTGCCCTCTTCTGTCCTTGACTCTCGCACTGCATTTGTTGGCTAATAGCGTGCGCACGGTGGAGAGGTTGCCTTTGGAAGTTGCGAAATGGAGGGCATTCTGTTTGAAGCGAGCGCGTGGGAATGAGAAACTAGTAGCTGGATCTGTAGTCATTGATACATACCTGGCCGGAGACACTCTTGACGCTGACGTCTGCACCCTTCCGTAGTAGCAGGTCGATGATAGGGTCGCCTTCTGCATTCTTCAGGCTCGCTGCGATCATGAGCGGAGTCCATCCCAATCCATCCTAGCAGAGTATTAGCAGTCCGTCATAGTCCTTCAGGTCATATGCGAGACTTCGACTGACCTCCACGTCCGGATCGAAGTTCTTCTGAGCTACTAAGAGCTCTACTATGGAAAGATGATTGAACGCAACGGCCCAGTGAATGGGGAGACGCTCGTCCTCATCTTTGACCGTAGCGAGTTTCGGGTTCGCCTGCAATCAAGATCAGCATGGACAAGCCAAAGGACAGTCCCTTCGTTGTTGAGACCGAGTAATAGACACCTGGGATGATCTATATGCGGCGGGGCAGCTTTCCGCGTACTTACGTTCAACAGCGACTCGGCAGTCGGAGCTGTCGCAAGTTAGCTCCAGAAGTCACATATTTTCAGAAAGCAACAGAAGTACTTTTGCCTTCTCTAGCTGCCTCATGCAGAGGAAATTTCGCTTCTTGATCTGGATTCATGATGATGTACTGGACTGTCCTGACAAGTGTGGAGCATGGCGAGAAGCTCTGGAGGGGAGCTATTGACACCTGAAATCAATTCTGATGCCTCAGGCATTCAGCAAAGCTCTCTCCGCTGAATGGCAAATCGGAGGTCACTGCTGTCAAATTACTACCTTGACCATCGACTCTCAATTCTCGCCCTTTGCACCTTTCTGCTACAGTCGCTTTCCTTGTCTGACGCATCACGGATGCGGTGACTTTACTCAAGCAAATTCCACCAACAATCAGGCCCTTCGAACAGGGTTCAGGACGCGTACAGCACGTCCTCTCTGGCGACCTGCGTCAGTCTTTAACGCCCGCAACGCCCAGAACAATCATTCGGACTTCTGAAATTTGGTCTGAATTTCTCCCATTCGAATACCATGGACGTCTTTCCTTCTACCACACCGGACGAAGCCGTCCGCAAATCCGCGAAGCGAACCGCTGAACTTTTCGGCTCCGAATACCTCATGGTCACACCCAGCGTCGCCGATGGATCGATCGGACTGTCCTACCGACGAAAGGCGGAATACTCAGATGTGAAGGAATTACCTCCAGCTCTTGCCGAGAAGCAGGCGAAAGCAGCAGCGGCAGGTCGCGCGAAGCGCCCAAAGATCCAACCGCAGACGAAGCCCCAAGCAGACGGAAGCGGCGCCTCGATGTCCCTCGTGAAGAGGGCTGCTGGACCGGCCGCGGGCGGAGTGGGTGGTGAAGATCAACCGAAGAGTCTGATTCAGAGACCCTCGGCGACGCGACAGCAGAGACCTGACTGGCATCCTCCGTGGAAGCTGATGAGAGTGATCTCGGGACATCTGGGATGGGTGCGGAGTTTGGCGGTGGAACCGAACAACGAATGGTTTGCTAGCGGTGCTGGTGACAGAACGATCAAGATCTGGAATCTCGCGACAGGTGCTCTTCGTCTGACGCTGACGGGCCATATCTCTACCGTCCGCGGTTTGGCCGTGTCTCCTCGGCATCCGTACCTTTTCTCCTGTGGTGAAGACAAAATGGTCAAGTGCTGGGACCTGGAAACAAACAAGGTCATCCGCCACTATCACGGTCATCTGAGCGGAGTATATACCCTCGCTTTACATCCGCGCCTCGACCTTCTAGTGACCGGTGGTCGAGACGGTGTTGCCCGAGTCTGGGATATGCGGACAAGAAGCAACGTCCACGTTCTGTCAGGCCACAAGGGCACCGTCGCCGACTTGAAATGCCAGGAAGCCGACCCACAGATTATTACCGGTTCTCTCGACGCTACAGTGCGCCTGTGGGACCTTGCAGCCGGAAAGACTATGGGTGTTCTCACGCACCACAAGAAGGGCGTGCGCAACCTCGCCATCCATCCGCGAGAATTCACATTCGCCAGCGCCAGCACAGGAAGCATCAAGCAATGGAAGTGTCCCGAGGGCGACTTCATGCAGAACTTTGAGGGCCACAATGCCGTCATCAACTCCCTTGCCGTGAACGAGGACAACGTTCTCTTCTCCGGTGGTGATAACGGCTCCATGTGCTTCTGGGACTGGAAGACAGGCTACAAGTTCCAGTCCATCGACACCATGGCGCAGCCGGGTTCTTTGGACGCCGAAGCCGGTATCATGTCTGCTACATTCGATCGCACCGGCTTGCGTTTGATCACCGGAGAGGCCGATAAGACCATCAAGGTCTGGAAACCTGACGACGAGGCGACGCCGGAGTCTCATCCTGTCACTTGGGCACCGACCCTTGGCAGACAGAGATATTAATTTAAGCCGTGGATGTCGTCTTTATACCCTTGATCCAAATGCAGAATCGGGCTGTTGTTTTGTTCTTTCGTCGCACATGGAGTTCAGCGTTTGTTTCAGAGTGATGTTGATACAAGGTCACGGGGGGAATCTACAAAACATATTTTCTGGTTGTATGATTAGGCACTTGAACTGCGTAGGATCAATCACATTATAATGGTTCTGAGTCTTTCTTGATCGCAGCATTTCAAAACGAGCTAAGGGTATCTTTGCTATCAAATGAGTCTTTGTACAGACAGTCACGAATAAATACCTGGGTACGCCGACGAATGCAAGTCCAGACCCTTACTGGTCCATACCCAATCCCAATCCCTTTGCCTCAATGTCCTCCCGGAACGCGGCTCGAACATCTTCTGGTGCAACTCTAAGCCTCACCTTTCCGCTTCTGTCGCCTCTGCTCGAGATGACAGAACCGCCTAGGGGCCCCTTGACTCCTGCCCCGTTTTCCAAGGCAAGGACTCCAGAGTTCATGAGTTCCATAGCGGCAAAGCCGAGAGCTCTCACACGCGCCCCGTTGTTCCCAGTGAGCAAGAAATCCCTGATGCCCGTGCTGGCGACTGCAACCGCCGCATCGGCGATTCTCTTCGCTTCGTCGATGACATCGCCGAATGTCGACTCTGTAATACCGGTTCGTTTAACACGGGCCAGTAAAGCAGCGAGAAAGAGCTTCGCGGACAGCGGAAGGGAGCGGAGTGATTGCTGGAGCGGGGTTGAGGTGGCTTCCTGGATGGCTTGCTTGATGGTGGCGATGGTGACTCGGCCCGCGGTCTGTTTCTGTGCCGCGTTTTTCTGAGGTGACTCGAGCTTGACTGTGTGCTTGCTAGTAGATTTCTGTCGTCGTGCTGGGGTTTTACTGGGAGTAGGGGGCAGGGACTCGGTGTCGTCTCCGTTCTGCTCGGCATCCATATCCTCGATCTTTGCAGCCTCGCTGGACTGTTCTGCAATTTCAACAGCGCGTCGACAGATGTCTAATGCACGCCGAGCATCTCCACTGACAGCAGCTACTTTTCGGCTAGCGAATTGAATGGCATCCGCATCGACGATGTTTCCAGGAACATTGGCCAGCCGGGTGCTGATGATCTCCATGAGATCTGTGTGCTTGTAACCGGGGAATGTAATGCGAGTCAACCCGAGACGGCTGGAGATTTTGTTGCTCAACGTTCTCTCCGGCAAGTCCATGGTGTTTGCCACAGCAAGGACGATAAGTCGTGAATGACGAAGGGCAGGCCAGTTGAAGAAATTGTACATGACTGATTGATTCTTTGTAACCAACTGATCAAGCTCGTCCATGAGGACGACACATGACACTCGTCTGGGCGAGGGATGCGAGAATTCTCTTTCGAGAAGATCAAGCGCATGGGAAGGGGAAACGCGATCACCCTTGAGCGCTTCCCAGAGCAATGAATAAGATTGATGAGGGTCAGTCACTTTCATTCCGTTGATTTCAACAAAGATGAAGTCGTCCATTTCCTCAGCGAGAACAGCAGCATTCAACTGCGCAACCACCTCACGTACTGTAGCTGTCTTGCCGGTCCCTGGTGTTCCCGAGATATAAATGCAGGTGCCAGTTCCTTCCATGATTGCTGCACTGAGATGATTATAAACAGTGTCGAATTCTGTCTTCCGACAAGGAAGTGATGTAGGTACAGTCGAAACATGCAGTAAGGTACGTGCTTGGCGATAAGGTGAATCGAAATGAGAAGGAGGCAAAACTCGAGTTCCAAGTGGTGTAAACTCTAACGGCCTCTTAACGACGATCCTATTGAGCAGCTTGTCAACTCCTGTCCCCGAAATTTAGACATGACTTCATACCTCTTGTGCGACGGCGTAGTAAGAGCTTTCTTACGTCGCGATTGTGGAGTAGCATTCGAGGCTACTTTCTGCCTCTTCCGAGGTGTAGAGGGAGCAAAATCATCATCCTCTTTCGTATAAATGTACTGAGTGCATTCCCGTTAGCAGCCATTTCTCACGCGAGCAGGGGAACTCACATCATCATCGACCTGCTTGCGTTTTTTGGCCGCTTTCAACCCGTCCTTGACCATGGTAATGAGATCATGGATCTTATCCTCCCGGTACACGTCCTCCCAAATGAATTCGTCGGTATATCTGCCTTGAAGCTGGTTTACACCTCTCCGGCAGATAATGCATTTGTTGAACTCGGCCAATTCCTCCTTGCCCTTTGGGGGCGTGCCGTTCGGATATTTGGCAAAGAACGCGTCCTTGGACATCACCGTAGCTTTGCCATTGATTGACGTGATGGGGTTGACATTAAAATCCGCTGTCAGATATTGTTCGTTTGGCAAAGCGTCCGCCCTTCGCTTGTTTTTGGTCGACATGAACTCATCCGGGGACGCAAACCACATGATGTTAACCGACTTGACCACCCCATCCTCTGCCTCCTCATCTTCTTCCTCTAGAAATTCAGTGATGATGCCGACCCAATCTTTTCCCGGTTCCGGAGATTTGAGCAGCACGACTTGACCTAACCGACACTCGAAGGAACCCATCCGCGCCCCTATGATATTCCGTCGGCGCTTCGCACTAGGGCGAGCCGCGCGTCTCCGAGCTGACTTTATCTCGGCCTCATCGGTAGCCGGTGTCGTTTCTTTGTTTTCGGTATCTTCTTCTTCAGCGTCATAAATCCAATGCCATGGAAGATCTTCATCCCCCAACTCGTCGTCGGAATCATCGCGCACTAGACCACCTTTGGTCATCCATAATTGTGCTCGTTGTCGAGCACTGCGCCTCCGAGAAGGAGTACTCTCACGTTCGTCAACAGAGGCCACGGCCATTTCCTTCAACTGGGGTGTACACGGAAATGGGTTGCAAGGTCTGGCCTACTCTCGGCGTTGAAACTAAAGAAAGAGTTTAAGACGCGTCAATGCGCGTTGTCCACTTTGACCCTGTTTGGGCTTAGTGTAGTTGCTGGGCTATCCACCAATCAAAATCATAGTACTTACACTTCCTTAAAAGGTCTTGTACACAACTTACTTTATGCTACCTCACTTTTCACTATTTCGAATCAAATTACCCTTTCTGATATCCGTTTGAATACAGGCTGCATTAGTTTTGAAAGAATTGAGTCATTTATATATATGTAATTGCTCAGAACTACATATTGATGAAATGGTTCTCCGATACTTGGACCGCTCAAGTCTCGAGCAAAAAGACCTCACCTTTGGCTCTTCCTGCTTATACTTGCACTGGAAGTGAAGTCAAATGACATCTGGTTTGCAGTTTGGGGTAATATGTTACTATTAATGGACGCGTATAAGTTCAATTTGTTATAATCGATGGTTGCATGAGAAGTAATCAGTTTGATAGCTTTACCTCTCTGCCATCTAAGCAATTCATCGCCAGGTAGTGCCATTAAGACTAGTACTCAGCTCCTTTAAAGACAAGAATGCAAGTTGGACACCTGGTAGTGCTCCTATTCTTTTACTTCTGACAGGAAAGAGCTGAGGTACTGTTTCCGCTTATGGAAGTTCTTCTGTTTGCTCTTCACACCGTCCCTGTTTGCCTTGACTACTATTCACTAATCCCCTATCACCACCTCACTACCCAACATCATTCACTTTTCATCCCGTTCACTACATCCATTCAATCCGTCGCTCCATCAGTTTCGTCTAATTCAGCATCACGTGCTGCCATTGGCTTCCTGAACTATTTATACCTCTCGTTGAACACTTCCTTTGATTCTTTTTGAGATGGCGAGAGAGTAAGTCGACGCTTAACAACATCTATGTCCAAACCACTAAACTCTAGCAGTCACGAGCCTGGAGGAGCAGCTGGTAAGAACAAAATATCCGATCCTCAAATCGTGCAACAAGATCAACGCAAGAATTGAGCTTCAACTGACGACGATCTGCAGAATGGGCGCTGCCAGGCTACGACTTGAAGGCATCCAAGCCGCGTCGAATGAAACAGTCGTCCAGATCTCATCGGCCGTCTCCATCCAATATGTCTTCAAGAACCGAACCACAGAAACAGCAACCTCAAGCTCAGACCCAGCAAGGACCCACCTCTCGCGGCGTGATGACTCCCAAAAGCCAAACTGCACAGGTAAGAGGTATTGATCGGCCGCTGAGAGCGTGGGGAAGCCCTGCGGTTCGACAGACCACAACTCGACACACTCCAGACCAATTCTTCAAAGACTCGCCCTCAAAGGCTAAATGGCGTAATGGAGCGCAGCCCAATGGTCAGTGGTAGAATATTCATTTTTATATGCTGAGGGTACTCATTCCATTTTCCTCCAGGTGTTGTGAATCTACCAGCTCTATTCGGATCCATGAAATATGAGTAGGTACACCACGGCTTCTCTTCCTGGGCTTGATGATTAACATGGATTTCAACTTAGGTTCTTCGGAGTAGCGAGGACCACAATATATGGGCGGAGCTCTCACGCCTCTCAAGGTCGTCACGAGGTGTTTAAGGAAATTAGCAAGAAGACGGGCGCTTTCGTGAAGCCGCCTGCCTATACGGACCAGGTGAGTCCTCCGACTCAACGAAGCGAGTTGAAAATGTCTCGGTTGAGATGCATTCGCTCATAGCAGTCAGGCGATCTTTCTTTGGGGTGAACCGTCTCAGATCGCCTCCGCAAAGGAGCATCTTCAAAAAATCATTGCAAAGTGCACCACTTCCTCCTTCCCGACGAAGAAAAAGCTTGAGTGGGTGAAGATCCACGCACACTCTGTCAACAAGGAGGCAGATGTTGAGTTGAAGGAAAGGCGCGAGCACATATTACAGCAGCTGAGAAAGGCCCCCGAGGACCCTTCGACTTTTCCCGAGCAGGTCAGTTTCTGAAACAGTACAGCCTGGTTCTGCAATCTAACTGCTCGCACCCATAGATGCTGTTTTTGTGGCCAAGAGAAGGCCCCTCTCTCGTTGACTCCCTCGGTCCACAACTAGAAGCCCTTGATGTTATCAGGGCGAAGTTCGGCTGTCACTTGTTCGTCCCAAAGGACATGCCAGCCTACATTTGCGCCTTTGGACAATCCTGGGATACGATGAGACAAATAGTGCAGTGTTTGAGGACCAAGTGGAGTGAAATCATTGCCAACAGCAATGTCAAGTCCAAGGTTTATGTTGTTGAGCCTCCTGCGCCAGCCTCCATGAAAGAGGCGATTACCATGGAGCGCAACAAGCAGTTTGGAAAAGCACGCCTCCAGGGATCCCGCCCCAAGGACCTCGAGCAATGGGAGATCCGAGCCGCCTTGATACAATCAAAGAACAATGCTCGTCTTCTCCAGGCGATCGAGAGGTCTTTGCGTGGCGTTGCCTTTGTTCGTGGTCATTTGCGCATGCGCATTAATCTCGGATCATTTGTGCTGGATGAATACCGTCTCCCCAAGGACGAGAAGCCCTCGTATCAATTTGAAGAGTTTAGAGAAATGTTGCTGCATGAGCAAGCAAAGGGCCGCTTGATCCCAGGGTACGTATCGCCAACACCTGAACGCAGAAGGATAACTGACTCCCGTGAAACGTACAGACTGAACCTTGGCAAAAATGAGCTGCTCGCCAGATGTTTCGAGGCCACCGATATTCTCGAACCGTGCGACAGCGTGACAGGAAAACTTTCTGACGCCGAACCGGCTTTCTCAGTGAACTTTGAGTTCCTGGGATCTAACAATGCGCTGCTCCGATTAGAAGCTGAGTTTTCGAAAAGTCCTGGTGCGTATGAATATGAAATCACTCAACGACGTTGGCTTAGTCCACGTAAGAGGGGCCATTCTGCCGACCAGCGGCCCCCTCTCCAGATAGGCGTCATCGATTTCGAAAGGTAAAGCCAACTTTGACCTTGCAATATCCATCTTCGAACTAATTCATGTGTAACAGATCCGACTGGCAGCTTGAAATAAAATCCCTCGAGTTCTATGAGACATCCTCGATCAATGCCGCTCTGAGGACTTTCTCTCATTCTATCAATTTCAGACGCACTGCGGACATCAACGACATCTCCGCAAAGCCACAGAGGAAGGTCGTCTTTCCAGCTTCTGCCCCAGTGTCCAGATTTGTCGAGAAGACAGCGATCAGGTACCGACTTAAGAACACCAAGTACATCCTCGAGATCGCCCGCTACGATGAGTACAGCCGCACGACTGCGCCAGGGTACGGTGGACAGAACCCTGCCGCCATCACCGGTCCAATCTCCGAGGTTCCTTCAAGTTCTTGGGGCGCATCGATCTTCGATCCAAACTGGGACAACTTGCTCGGACAGCACGCGAATATACCGCTTGGACATACGGCAAGATACAGTCCCAGTCTGAACACGTTCTTTCCACCCATAGAAGAGACCACCGGAAGCAAATGCGAAGGATTTTGGGAGCTGATTGCCTTGGTGAGACGGGTTGCGGAGCTGCTAGGCTCAACAAAGACTTCCGTTGAAAACGTGAAGCAGCGAGTCCCTAAGAGTCCTTCGAGCGATAAGTCTGATGAAGCCGCTACTGCACGTCAAAATCGCCAGCAGGTCAACATCGGCCCTCAAATGCGTGTCTTGTTGGATGCAGATCTCGGCACGTTGTTCTGACTGAGCTCTTTAGGCCGCCAGATTCTGTTCTCAGAATGCTGCCGCAGTCGGTCCCTAGTTAAATCAGATTCCTGGGTCTAGGCAGTCTCGTACAGAGACTTTACTGGAGAAATTGCGCATGTGGACTGGACGAGTTAGAGGACAACAATACCTGAACACAGACGTTCGAATGTTTCGAACACAATCTTCGTCTTGTGTAAGAGCGTCTCAAACAGCTGGAAGAAGCTAACATCAGTTGTGAAGTAAGCTGGATGCTTATCTGATTCGCTCTTTGCTGAGTCGTGATCTGCGGAATATGAGCAATGCTGCGCCAGATTGTACTAAGCCTACATAGAAACAAGGTCCTGTTATCTCTTATCCATATGGACTTGCACCAGGTATCATAAAATTCTAAGAATGGTAACTAATTTTATTCTGGAGACTGTACCATAAGCGCCCTTTCTTCAAATGGTATGCAACGAGATTAGCCAGCACCTGCAGCTGCGGTTGAAGATGGGACACCTTCGCCGCTTAGCATCTTTTGTCTCAGAGCTATAATAGCCGGTTAGCTATCGAACGAGACCGCGTACAAGGCATTTGGGTCTTACCATCTTCAAAGAGTCTCAACTGAGCACTCTTAGTCTGTACAATTTTCTCCAGCTCGACACAGTTGGTTTCCAAACCCTTGACCTTTTCTTCGTAGAACTCAATGGCCTTTGGTGCTGTCTGTTCAAGGGAAGACCAACTTAGCCCTCAAACATGTGATCCTGCAGGAAGAAGACTCAACAAACCTTCTCAACGTAAAAGCCCGTCCCAACATCGACAAGCACCTTTTCTCGATCCGCGAGCTTACCCCTCACATACAGGGAGCTCGTCAGAGGAACCAGTATATCATCCTTCCCAGCTGTTCCCTTCTTCTCCGACCCCACAACCCCATCATTGATGGATCGCACACAATCCCGGAATCTGGATTGCGCGGCGCGCAGTTTCTGATGCGAGGTGGTCAGATGCTCAAGCTCCGAGGTGAGGCGGGTTTGGAGGGCGCGGAGCTGAGGCACGGAGAGAGATGCGATGTTCACTGTGGACTCTCCGTTAGATTACGGCTCTTCGATTGGAACGTGCAGGATACGATATATATCCAGTTATGGCACATGTGAGGGAGGAGGGAGCTTACCGGCGCCGGGGGGAGCTCCGCCTGAGCTTGAAGAGTCGGATGCGGGGGTATTTGCAGGTGGCATTTTGGTGGTGATAGTTGATTGAGGGGTCTTTTTCGAGTAGAAGAGGGAAGAAGCCGTGGGCTCCTAGTCAGAAGCGGGAGGTGGCCCCGGTGCACTGTGCTTCTTTATTTGAGGTGACCGAGTTGGAGAGGTCTGCTTCGATCGATTGATGGAGCCAGGCCAGTTAGGTGCTTTTTTCGGATGGTCGATTGCGGCGCGTGGAGATAGTGTGGCCCCATGGGCGATTTTAGGAGTAGATGGGTATCGCCACGCACCACTCTTTTATCGGACCAGCTATAATTGCAGAGGATTGGGATTTAGGGTATTGATCGAGATGCTAGTATACATTCGTTCTACAAATAGAATTACATGATTCGGCCTGCGGACTTGCAGACTAGTTGGGCCATATTGGCCAGCAGTGCTCATAGTCGCTCTAGTAGGGACTGCACGAAGGACGGCAGCTGATCCAATGGCACGTCTTCGCGTAGATTGTCCAAGCGACGACATTGTACCTCGAGGGTCTGTGCCTTCTTCCACCCTTTGCCAACCACGACGATAACAGGATATCCAATCAAGTCCGCGTCCCCGAGTTTCCATCCCATCGGTTTGTCGCGGTCATCCAGGATAGCGTCGATGGAAGAGGTGTGATTTGAGACGAGAGAATCGTACACTTTCTCTGCCTCCGTCTCCAGTCCCTTCCCGGGGACGACTACTACTTCGTAAGGCGCCATAGCTCGGGGCCAATTCAGGCCCTTTGAATCCGCGAGACTGTCAGCAACGGCGCTGATCATGCGCGAGACGCCAATCCCATGACAGCCCATCTGCAAGGGCACCAGCTGGTCTTTGGATTGAGAGCCCCCGGATAGCGATCGATCAACCATGACGGATGCCTGGAGGACTTCGCTGTACCGGGTGCCAAGGTGGAAGGTGTGACCGAGTTCGACAGCGGTGTGAGTCTTCAAGGAACCCTTTGCGCATTTGGTACATTTGTCGCCATCTTGTACTTTGACAAGGTTCAGCGCTTGATTCGTGCCAGGGAAGCGATCGAGCATGGAGTAATCAATCTCATCCGCAGTGCGGTTGACCTTCTCCAGAAGGTCACTTAGAGGTGGGCGCTTGTATACTCTTGCCTGTGCGTCATACAGATCCAGCACCTGCGGACGCTCAGAGGAGCCGGAGATACCGGATCCCTTGTCAGACTCGACCTGTGAGACCCATTGTTCAAGCGGATTCTCTACGCTAAGGTCGATGTCAACCCCGGCTGCGGTAGCTATAGATTTGACTGCATGGGAGTTGACTTCGCGTTCCACGGGCTCTTGGTTTGCTTCGCGCATGGTGAACTTGGGGTACCACCCCCGCAAGAGAGTCTTTCTGTCTCTTGATATTGCTATCCATAAATCAACTGAGACGGTTGGACTGTCTCCGGTTGAAGTTGCCCCCGTGTCGAAGCCTGATACTTGCCCAGCACCGGCATTTTGAGCCTCTTCGATGTTATGTGCCTTTCCATCTGCGAGTTCGTCATTGTAGACATGGTCGCAGTTCGAACAGCTGATGACAGTGTCTTCGCCTTTTGAGCTGGGAAAATGGAATTCGTGGCTCAGGCTCCCGCCCATATTTCCAGAGTCTGCAGCAGCGACTAGGTAAGGAATCTTCAACTCATCAAAAAGGTTTTTGTAAGCCGCTTTCACTAAGTTGTACGTCTTCAAAGCTTCTTCAACACTGTAATCGAACGTGTAGAGATCCTTCATAAGGAACTCTCGCCCGCGAAGCAGGCCTTGTCTTGGTCGTGGTTCATCTCTATACTTTCTCGCTACGTGGCAACTGCATCAGTCACGCGGTTTATCAAGAGATCACCATTTTACTTACAGATTTGATAGACGCGCAAAGGGAGGTCTCTATAAGACTTGGCGAGGCTTCCCACCAAAGTAGTAATCTCCTCTTCATGAGTAGGGGCAAGAAGGAAACGAGACTCTTTCCTGTCTAGAAATCTAAAGACCTGGATAATTGTTAGTAACAAACTACCGAGTGAAGGCGGACGAAATTCACCTCTGAACCTTCTTTCAGACGACCTGACTGCTCCCAGAGCTCTTGAGAAGATATAGACGACAGAGAGACCTTTGAGGCGCCTGAAAACCAAGTCAATGAAAGGGTCATTTCCGCCGAGCACTCGATCTATACACACCAACCGATCGCATATGTTTATCAATAAGACGCTCTAGCTTTTCTTGCACCCGCAATCCAAGCGGTAACATATGAAATATTCCCGAGTAGGCCTATCATAACAGTCAGAGACGGGTTCCAGCATCCTGACATAAGGCAGCTTACTTGTCGGAGAAAGCCTCCTCGGATCAAGAGTTCGTTTGCATCCTCTGATCCAAGTCAATGACCTTTGTTCGCGGAAAGGCCATATAAAATTACTGTACCTTTTTCGCCTTGGGAAGGCTTTTTCGAGATGCCTCCAGTCGGAATCCAGAAATTGGTGACACGATTCCTACCATCCGTCTATGATATCTCAGTACTTGGGCAACAACAGATCAGATCTTGGGAATAATACGTGAAACGGGCATTTCTGAGCTCTACTTAATCGAATCTTCCCCAAGTATGCTCGACATGTCCTCGAAAAGCGGCCCGTGAACGGGCGAACCCCAGAAATCATGAATTAACAAAGAATAAATACCAATAACTTAAATGTTTCAGTGAAAAAAATAACAGTCAATGTCACATTATACAATTATATTATAATGTAATTCTCTATATTTGCAACTGATACTGCAGACAATACTCATAGGCATGGTCCAAGCGGCCGGCATCTCGGGGACCGCGAAACTATTCTCCGGCGGCCAACAGCATCTCCGCAGCAAAGTTTCGTCTTCCGGCGGCAGAAAAAAAAAGTTGATGATCGAAGTCAACCACGAGCGTTTTGTCTGTCTGGCCATTTCAGGACGCTTCAATGACCAAAGGCAAAGGAAAGAGCTCCTCCGGAGCAAATGCAGTCCCAGTGGCTGATTCCAAGTCTGCTGGGGAATCTCTTCCCCAGCTTGAGGAGGGTGCATTTGCCGGTCTGCGACAGAAAATCGAACAGAAGTTGAAGGACGAGCAGGCTGCCAAACAAAACAAATCGAAGAACAAGAAGAATCAGAATGTGGACAAGTCTACGCCGAAGAAGGAGAAGGAATCTGCACCGAAGTCCGAACCGAAGCGTGAAGCCAAGAGCGATAAGAACAACAAAGGCAAGAAACGTGACCGCAACGGAGAAGTGATCGCTAGGGAAGAGAAGAAGACCGGTGGAAACCAGGATGACACTTTACGCCAGGAAATTTTGGCGCTGGGTGGTACCGAAGAAGACTTTGATCTGCTGGCGGGCGTGGAATCCGAGTCTGAAGTGGAAGTCGCATCAGAGACACAGAAGAAGTCGAAGAACAAGTCTGATGAGGATTCGCTGAGAAAGGAATTATCCGCAATGCTAGCTGCTGCTGGTCAAGTTGTGCCCGACGATATTGAAGACGAGGATGAGGTGGCTGCCGCATCTGGCTCTGAAGGAGTGGACGAGGAGGAGGAGCAAGAGGAGGACGACGACACTCAGCAGGGCGAGGACGGCGATCAGTCAGAAGACGAGGAGGAGGCCTCTTCGGCGCCAGTTGCCAGAAACGCTGAGCCTCCCAAGAAGGAGAAGGCCAAAGAGCCAGCCGCCGAGAATATCTTCCCCAAAGAGTTCTCGAAACTAGTGAGTATATCCAAGTTCTTGCTCCTCAAAAATGTACTAAAACGAGCGCATAGACTATCCCTCCCAGATCTGACTGGTATGCGACGACTCTCCCTCCAACTCCGTCTAACACGAAACAAGCGAAGGCTTTGCCCCGTCACGTGGTGGAACGCGTTCACAATTATGCCATCTCACTTCTGGAGAAGGAGACTAAGATGTACACGGAGGCGCAACAGGCCTCGGCCTCTTCCTCTCACAAATTCTACACAACCATCATGTCGACCGGTACCCTCAGCGACAAGATTTCGGCTTTGACGCTTGCTGTGCAAGAGTCGCCAGTGCACAACACCAAGCAACTTGAGAATTTGATTGGCCTGGGCAAGAAGCGCAGTCGCGCTCAGGCTGTGGAAGTTCTGAGATCGCTGAAGGATATGTTTGCTCAGGGTACATTGCTTCCCAGTGATCGGAGATTGAAGACTTTCGGAAACCAGCCAGCCCTCATGGCGGCATTCCAAGGAGCTGGAAGCAAATGGTCGGAAGGCGACCGTCTTCCTGGAGGTTTGCAAAACAGCCATCTCATCATGTGGGCATATGAGCACTTCCTGAAGGACCAATATTTTGAGGTTCTGAAGATCTTGGAAGTGTGGTGCAATGACGAGATTGAGTTCTCGCGCTCCAGAGCTGTGAGTTATGTCTATGAGCTGCTGAAGGAAAGGCCGGAGCAGGAAGCAAACCTGTTGCGGTTGCTGGTCAACAAACTCGGCGACAAAGCCAAGAAAATCTCCTCGAGAGCTTCTTATCTGCTCTTGCAACTTGAACAGGCTCACCCTTTGATGAAACCAACCATCATCAAGGCGGTTGAAGAGATCCTCTTCCGGCCGGGCCAGAGCCAGCACGCCAAGTACTACGCTATCATCACTCTGAACCAGACCGTCCTTAGTCTAAAGGAGGAGAGTGTTGCCGTTCAGCTCTTGGATATATACTTCGCGCTCTTTGTTGCTCTCCTGAAGCCTGTCAAGGAGGGTAAAGGCAAGAATCAAGGCAAGTTTGGTAAGGGTAAGAAAGGCAAAGGAAAGGATGATCCGGCAAAGAGTCAAGCACAGGAGGAGGAAATGCGTGAGAAGCTTGTTTCTGCAGTCTTGACGGGTGTTAACCGAGCTTATCCTTTCACGAGCTCGGATACCGACAGGTATGTCTATCGTCTACTGTAACTTGATGCTGAGCTAATCTGTCCACAGACTTTCTAAACACATCGATACCCTTTTCCGTATCACGCACTCTTCCAACTTCAACACTAGCATCCAAGCTCTGATGCTCATTCAACAACTCACAGCATCTCATCAAGTGGGTGCTGATCGCTTCTACCGAACGCTTTATGAATCACTTATCGACCCACGAGTTGCCACTTCCTCGAAGCAGTCGCTATACCTCAACCTATTGTTCAAGGCTTTGAAGAACGATTTGAACCTCCGCCGGGTCAAGGCCTTTGTCAAGCGGATTGTTCAAGTCCTTGGTCTACATCAGCCGGCTTTCATCTGCGGTGTCTTTTACCTTATCCGCGAGCTGGAGAAGGCTTTCCCCGGTATTCAGGCTTTGTTTGATCAACCAGAGGATAACGACAGCGACGATGAAGAGGTGTTCAGAGACGTGCCCGATGAGGATGATGAGCAGCAAGCCCAACCTGCAGTTCCCGAAGATAAGCAACAGAAGCCTTCAAACGGATACGATCCTCGCAAGCGGGATCCGGAACATAGCAATGCTGACAAGACTTGTCTGTGGGAATTGGTAAGATGGACCTCAACTTGCTGGCACCTCAACATCCAGGGAAAGCAAAGCTAACAGGATCTATAGCTACCGTACTTGTCTCATTTCCACCCGTCCGTGTCAGTCAATGCCGCCCACCTTCTGGACCACCACCCGATGAGCGGCAAGCCAGACATGACGATTCACACATTGACACACTTCCTCGACCGCTTCATCTACCGAACCCCCAAGGCGTCCGCAACCACCCGCGGTGGCTCAATCATGCAACCTCTCGCTGGTAGCGACGCGAAGGACCGGCTGGTGGGTACCGCCAAGAGTAGCCAGGATCTGCCACCCAACTCGGAGGAGTTCTGGAAGAAGAAGGCCGAGGATGTGGCAGCGGAAGATGTTTTCTTCCATGAATATTTCAGCCGAGTTGGGAAGAGCAAGGACAAGGCCCAGAAGAAGAAGGCCAAGGATACCGGTGCGCGCGGTGAAGAAGACGCAGAAGAACTTAGCGATGCTGAATCGGAGATCTGGGAAGCCCTTGTCAAGTCACGGCCTGACTTGGAGGATGCTGGTGATAGCGACGACGATCTCGATCTGGATGATCTCGAATCCGCGTATGATCAGGATGAGGACGATGAGGCTGCTGAGAGCGATGGTGGAGTCATCTTCAACGACGAGTCCGACGAAGAGATGGAAGACCTTGACGCTGCCGCAGAGTCCGAGACCGAGGAGCTGCCTACCAAGAGTAAGACCAAGGGCAAGAAGATGGAGGAAGAAGAAGCCCTGGACGAGGAAGACGATTTCGACATGGATGCGTCGGACGAGGAGGCATTCGTCGGCAGCGACGAGGAGCTGCCGTCTGATATCGAGCTTGGAGGCGTGGAGCTGCCCAAGGAGGACGAGGCATCTGGGCGGAAGAAGAGACGCAAGCTCAAGCACCTGCCTACATTTGCATCCGCGGACGACTATGCAGCCTTGCTGGCCGGGGAGGACGAGGGGATGTGATATTCAGGTACGGGGTTACGGAGACGTATGTATATGTGCATATAGATACCACAAAAGTCTATCTTATACCACATGGCTTTCAAGGGTTTTAGGCCATGATCTTCATTTCTGCGGCTCTTGCTGTGTTTCTGGCATTACTAGAGTCATGTGCATCTTCACATAAACATACATCATATCCAGCACCTAGCATGGAGGTAACAGATGTCAGCTTGAGAAAATCAGGATCTGAGACCTCTGCACAGCCCAGTACGTCCGCGCCATGGTCCCCTAGACCTTAGCGCTTATCCGCTATCAGAGATTTCATTGTGTTCCTTCACTTCCCATATAGCAAAATTGAGTGAAGAGTGGAGAGTGGAAATTTCCCCCTCCGGTACTGCCAGATGCGGCGTGCGGGGCGGGACACGATCTGGCGGCCCCACACGCCACGCCCAGGGGTAGCGCTGATTGGTGATTTACGAGGAGGGTTACACTGAAGCATGGGCCAATGGCGGCATCTCCTGGTGATGCATGGTTGTTTGCAGTCGCGGCTTTCTTGCCTGTTTCTGTGGACTGTTGGGTTGAAATCTCTGCTATTTTTTGTTTGAATTTAGAGGATAAATTCACAGTACAAATGTCTTGGTGTTAGATTGAAGTACGGAGTATAGACTATGGAATACTTACGAAAGGGAATGAAACTGTTGGGATTTGAGAGACTTGGAACTGATAAGAGGTACAGCCGGTCAAGACCTTGTAAGGTTCAACCTATACAAGGAACCTTTTCCGCCACATCTATCCCCTGCCGTCCAGTTCCCAATTAGGATGAATATGATGATTACCTCTCGTCGACCTCAACGCTCATACGTCAAGTACTACGCCTATTGCGGCTGTCTTTTGCTCACTCTCCCTCGCAATTGTCACCGCCCTGGCCTCCCTCAGAGTATTATCTTTTGGGTCTCTTGACTTGCTGCAAGTGAATGGTTCCAGAAACTCCTGGCCTGAGCACGTCATAGAGCCTAAAGAGTGACCATCGACCTGGCCACTATGGATCTGCTCTTGTCGGTTTCGCCGTCCGCATTGCGTCTATCTGCTCCCATAGTGTACCTTAAATTACGCAGTAGGTAGGGACCTAGCCTATTAGCCGGTTAAGAGTTGGGATAATCCATGGCATTATTATTTTAGTTCAACAGCATTAATTGTGATCGCAATCTTACTTGATCATGGATCATCCTTCTATATGATTTTTCTTTTTGTCTCTGCTCTTCATCTTCTTTAGAATTTACTTGTTGACTCAAGATTCTGCCTTTTCTCTTGGCCGATTCTTCTTGCATCTTGTCTTTGTCTTCCCCTCCGTCTTATCACTGGGCAATCGTCTCCGCTGCTAACAGTACGCCAAGTGAACGTTTTGGTCTGCTATTCAGTGTTCAATTTTTATCTCGTCTTTCGCCTGAGTATCCTAAGATCGATTTCTGAATATCTTGTATGTTGTGGTGTCTCTGAACGTCTGCCAGGTTTACCAGGGCTTCATTCCTTTCTGGTCGATACTAACCTCTATACCGGTATAGACCCGCCCAAAATTAAAGAGGCGCAGTACATGCATTCAAAGGTCTACAACATCACTTCTCTCGCTCACACTACCGACTGCTTCCATCTGCGGTTCGTCCGCACGTTGAAATGGCGTGGTTCACCTCTTCTGAAAAATCCCCGAACGACGACCGCTCGTCCAGCGTGTCAGACCAGGCCCGAGATTCTCCCGATAAATTGAAACAATTGGATCTTGAGGGCCAGGGTCATGGCGTGCAGTCGGACTCAGAGAACGGCGATGTCGGTAGGCAGATTGAGCTTGAGGCGGAGAACTCCATAAAATATCGCACATGTAGCTGGCAAAAGGTAAACGCGACCGGGTGAGCCATTTGGACGGCGCAGAGTGTTAACCTTCTGTTGGTGTATAGACTGCCGCCCTGCTCTTTTCTGAGTATATCTGTCTGGCCATCATGTCGTTTCCGTGGTCATATTCAGTGCTGGGCCTCGTTCCGGGTCTAATTTTGACCGTGGTTGTGGCAGCGATTGTGCTGTATACGTCCCTGATTATTTGGTATGCTTGATTGTCATATATTCGCGCGGTTTGGGTACTGATTCCGATTAGGAGGTTCTGCTTGCGCCATCCTGAAGTCCGTGATGTCTGCGACATCGGCCAGTACCTCTTCTGGGATTCCAGGATTGCTTGGTATATGACTGCCGTCATGTTCTTGTTGAACAACACTTTCATTCAGGTATTCATCTCCTTATTGCCACAATCCCCTGCCCTATGCAGGTTCTAAATCTTCTTAGGGCTTGCATTGCTTGGTCGGAGCCAAATATCTGAACACAATGACCAACCATGGAGCGTGCACTATCATCTGGTCATTGGTGACTGCCATAGTGTCGCTGGTGTTCTCTCTGCCACGGACGTTTAGCGGATTGTCCAAGGCCGCCACTTTGTCGGCTATTTTCACCTTCGTATCCGTCATTCTGGCAGTCATCTTCTCGGCCATTGAGGATCATCCGGCTGGCTACACTGCTGCACAGGGCGAACCAACTGTGACCGCGATCCCAGTGGTAGGCACCACGTTCGTTTCCGGTGTCAATGCATTTTTGAACATCAGTTACACATTCATCGGCCAGATCACACTTCCCAGTTTCATCGCTGAAATGAAGGAACCCAAGGACTTTTGGAAATCGGTTACGGCCGTGACGATTGCCGAGATCATCGTCTTCAGTCTGGTGGGCGCCATTGTATATGACTACACGGGAAATCAGTATATGACCGCGCCCGCATTCGGCTCCATCGGCAACGAGGTCTATAAGAAGATATCTTTCTCGTTCATGGTTCCTACCTTAATCTTCCTCGGAGTTCTATATGCCTCCGTGTCGGCGCGTTTCATCTTTTTCCGTCTGTTCGACGGTACACGCCACAAGGGCAATCACACCGTGGTCGGATGGGCCTCCTGGACCGGTATCCTTGCCGTCCTTTGGATCATGGCCTTCATTATCGCCGAGGTCATTCCTTTCTTTTCCGATCTGCTCTCCATCATGAGTTCTTTATTCGATTCGTTCTTTGGATTCATCTTCTGGGGAGTTGCCTATCTCCGGATGAGATATGCCGACCACGGGCCGGGCTTCTACAAGAAGCGCGGTATCCGCGGCTGGGTTGGCTTTATCGTCAACATCGGGCTGATCTTGACGGGATTGTTCTTCTTAGGACCCGGAACCTATGTAAGCCTTCCTCTCAAGCATTCTCATGAGCGTGTCGCTAACATGACCCTATGCAGGCTGCCATTATGAGCGTCATTATAAGCTATCGGACAGGTTCCGTCGGAAGCCCATTCTCGTGCGCCGATAATGGATTATGATCTCTTATTCTTCTTATTTTCTTGTTAATTCTTTCGGCTTCCCTTGATCGTGCGATGGGAAAGACGAAGACCGCGAAGCTGGATCTTCGGGCCCGCATGACTCAAACGATCTGCTATTTAACTGTTTGTTGCTATTCATGGATGTTTGACTTGTTGAACGCTGCGCGGCGGATTCCTGGGTCGATATTCTTTGAATCTGCTTGACTGCTTAGTTTAGTATCTCGATCCGCAGATCCAGCAGCCATAAACGCCGCGGCCAAATGTGGGCTATTTCGCTCCGATGCCATTTCGCTCCGATGAAACCTTGGATGGCCGCTTTGTCAGAGTCCCCATTTGACCGCCACTATACGTAGATTTTTAGACAGGCGTATATTGTAATTTCTCATATATGATTCTCTCCCTTCATAATCATCATCGGATCTTGTCTCTATCAACTTGAGATCATTCCGGATTGCACCGAGTGTCCGCGGAATTGTCCTATCGCCACGTGACTTTTCCGTTATCGCAGCTCTTCTCCGCAATTTCATCACCGTACTTGATCTGCTCAACTTTCTGTTTCCGTAGATATCTTTTCTTCTGCGCCTCAGTTACCCATCATGTCTGCTCTACGACCTTTGCAACGAGGTGTGAACCCCCTGAGCGCAAGATACATTTCTCAATCCGCCCGTGTTGCGGCCAATGGCTCCAACATCCTCCGGCGGCAGCTCCCATCTCCGCTCCACGGCTGCTCTTCGGCCGCTGGCATAGCTCCCCGATTCACTGCTGGGCCATCGGTGCACTCCCAAAATGGGGTCACACGGCGTTATGCCTCGTCTACTGCCTCAGGGCCAGTAAAGAAGACTCAATTGTATGATCTGCACATTGCCAGGGGAGCGAAGATGGTGCCCTTTGCGGGGTACTCTATGCCCCTGCAGTATTCAGATCTCAGTCACGTCGAGAGCCACCACTGGACCAGAGAAAAGGCTAGTGTGTTCGACGTGAGCCATATGTAAGTATTCTCAATACCAGAGATGTTGATACTCTGAAGACAACCTGATTCTAACCTTGGCTAGGGTACAACACCATCTTAGTGGTCCCGGAGCCATGGAGCTGCTAATGAAGGTCACTCCCTCGTCTCTGGACAAGCTCAAGCCTAACTCCTCCACACTCTCCTGCCTGCTTGAAGAAGGCACCGGCGGCATCGTTGACGACACCGTCATTACCCGCCTCGACGGCGACGCATTCTATTTCGTCACCAACGCCGGCCGCCGCACCGAGGACCTGGCCTTCCTACAGGCCGAGATCGAGGCGTACAGGCAGACCCACGGCGCCGACAGCATCAAGTGGGAGATCCTTGCCAACCGGGCTCTCGTCGCCCTGCAGGGTCCGCTCGCCGCCTCTGTCCTCCAGCCCCTGATCAGCTCCCACGGCGCGGTCTCCCCCGCCGACACCGACCTCAGCACCCTCTACTTCGGCAACTGCCGCTCCCTACACCTCACCCTGCCCGACGGCACCCCAACCCAACAGCCTCTCCTCATCTCCCGCACCGGCTACACCGGCGAGGACGGCTTCGAGATCTCCATCCCCACAGCCGGCTGCCCCTCCCTCCCAACGCAGGTCACCGAGCTCCTCCTGTCCAACCCGGAGCAAGTCCGGCTCGCCGGCCTCGCAGCCCGCGACTCCCTCCGCCTCGAGGCAGGCATGTGCCTCTACGGCAACGACATCTCCACCGCACAGACACCCCCCGCTGCGTCCCTGGGCTGGGTCGTCGGCAAGGACCGCCGCGACCCCGCAACGGCCACCTTCAACGGCGCCGCCACCATCCTCCCGCAGCTCGCGTCCCCCGCGAAGACACTCTCGCAGCGCCGTGTCGGCTTCACAGTCGAGAAGGGCAGTCCCGCGCGCGAGGGCGCCATCGTCGTCGACCTGGGCGACGAATCGCACCCGCAGATCGGCGTCATTACCTCAGGACTGCCGAGTCCATCACTAGGCGGTACGAATATCGCCATGGGCTACATCAAGAACGGCATGCACAAGAAGGGGACCGAGGTTGGGGTGTTGGTCCGGAATAAGGTCCGCAAGGCGACGGTTACGGGTATGCCTTGGGTGGAGAGCAAGTTCTACCGGCCCAAGGCTTGATTGATTTTCACTGTTTTTCATGATGCTCTTATGTAAATAGTTACGGTTGCAGTTAGATTTTCGGTTTGGATCCATTTAACATGACGGTATAATATAACGTTCGTCCATGATTCAACAAGGACTAAACACTCGCGATTGCAGTCATGTGCAAACAAAATTCACAGCGCATTCTCCTCCTGCTGACTCCTACGCATGGGTGAATTCCTTGCCAACAGCATGGTGCCGGTAAGCAAACGGAAAAGAGTGACGTCTTCGCCTCGCGTGGCCATACTCGCCAAACTGGAGAGGAGTGGAGTCGAAATCAACCATTCTCTGCCTGAGGCCCGAAGAAGAGGCCCCTCCCCGAGTCGACAAGGACGGCGGCAGATCCTCCTCGGCTGTTCCCCAGCGACTCTCGTTTCTACCCAGAACAAGTACCAGCTCCTTTCCCTCGGTGAAGAAGTCATGGTCAACCCAGTTCTTAGTGTATGGCTTGCCGTTTAGCGTGGCAGACTGGATGTAGATGTTCTGGTACGTAGGGTCGAATTTCACCGCGCGGACGGTTGCCGTGCGGCCGGTCAACGGGGACTTGATGCGAACGACCTCGAAGAACGGCGCGGTGATCAGGTAGACGCTTTGTCCGGGGTTAGGGAACAGGCCCATCATTGACATGGCGACGAAGGAGCCCATGGCGCCCGAGTCGTCGTTGCCTGGGAGGCCGGCGGGCGTGGGGTTGAAGTATTTGGGGATGTAGAAATGCGCGCGAGAGGCTGATTTGGCGGGGCGGCCGGCGTAGTGGTATTGGAAAACGGTTAGGAAAGATGGTTCGTTGCCGATGTATGTGATTCCTTTATCGTGGAGATAGTCCAGTCGTTGGACGTATCGGTCTGGTCCTCCGAGAAGGGTAACGAGAGCGGCCATATCGTGAGGAACGAAGCTGGAGCCTTGTCAGCTGTGATCCTAAAGAGTCGGAATGGCGACGATCCTTACAATTGGTATTCCCAGATGCTGGACTCGTACGTCTCTGCTGCGTTGTTCTGGAGCGAGCATGATCTCCCGCTGTTGTCGATGTTTGAACATGTCAGAGGATCCTGCATTCATGTCAATCGGCGGCTTCCGCGAGGACCAGTACAGGTAGACCTACCTGGAACCCCCATGTGCCATTCAGATATCGGGGCTGGAAGAACCCCTTGAATCCAGTGTCGGTACCATTGATGAGCGAAGTCTGATCTTCACGGAACAGGTTTCTCCAGTAACCCGAAGTCCTCTCATACTTTTCTGCATCGTCTGGTCTGTTCATGCCACGCGCCATTTGCGAGATGGTGAAATCATTATAGGAATACTCAAGAGTGCGGGAGATGCTGCGGGTCATAGTTCCAAAGCCGACGTAATCAAAATCCTCGACGGGAATGTAGTTCAGCGATTTCCAGCTGTTCAGCCCACCTCGGCCTTCATTTGACCAGTAGTACGGTTCTTCCTCAGCATCTTTTTGGACGGCTGCATAACCGGCTTCCCAGTCGATGCCATCGGAAATGCCTTTCATGTATGCGTCGGCGAGAACGACGTCTGCGTTGGATCCTCCTTGAGTGTACCCTACAGCTGGTCAGTTCGTCGACGGGTATCTAACAGAGGGCGTGTTGATAATACCTTTGCAAAGAGACATGCGACAATCCGGAAGCCAGCCCAGATGCTTTTGAGTATCAATAAGCGAGCGGACCATCCGTGTCAGCGACGCAGGGTCGAATATGGTCAAAAAGGGCAGCTGAGACCGGAAAGAATCCCACAAACTAGCAAGCGTTAGGAGAGTTGCGTTGGAAACTGACTGGACCTACCAGTAAAAAGAGTCAAAGTACGGCTCATTGCTCTCCCAGAGTGGGTTTTCCCCAGTGTAATCCTGCGGATTGATCATTGTACGGTAGATGCCACTGTAGAAGTTGGTTAGAAGAGAAGCATTGACGCCTTCTCTGGACACGCGAATAGGGGCAAGCTTGTCCTGCCACGCCTCCGTAGCCTTTGAGCGTGTGGCTTCAAAATCGAAATCCGGGATCTCAGACTCAGCATTCGAGCATGCCCGCTCGCTGCTGATGAAACTCAAACCCACTCGGGCCTGCACCGTAATATCCGAAGCAGCTTCAAACCGGACAAAGGCACCTCCCTGCATTCTGTTAAAAAGGATCCTGATGGATGAGACCGCCAGTCGACTCACAGGAAGAGGGTATCCATTGATACTCCGAGACATCTTCAATTCCTTCACGTCTGTGCTTGCGCGTGAATTGACAAATATTCCGTTATCGCGAACGGCAGAGCTGCTCTGAAAGTCAACACAGAAGTAAGGCACGTATGATCCACTCCCGAAGCTGGGCAGAAAGCGCGCATGGCCCGTCATGCGTCCGGTAGAAGCATCAACGGAAATTGTTCCATTGTCCTGTCTTGAATCAGACAGGTCTGTCAGATCAAGCAGGATAAGCGGACTCGATGCACCGTCGGTGGGAAACTGGAAACGGAACAGAGACGTATGATGGGAAACGGTCATATCGACTTTGATGCCAGAGTTCATGGTCAGTCCAAAGTATCCAGGAGAAGCTTTGACCGAGTCCGCATGATATCCGATACGGCGCTCTTTCTTCGGATAAGCGCAACCATTGACATCGTCATCTTTGCATTTGACATAAGGGAATAATGGAAAGTTTCCGAGGGATGGGTTTCCTCCAGTGCCAGAATCGTGCAAGCTAGAAAAACCAGTTATATTGCTGCCATCGAGTGTGAAGCCTCCCTGGTTGCTCTGGGAATTCGTATCGGCTACAGCCTTGGCCATGCCATAGGGAAGCGATGCACCAGCAAAGACATTGCCTATTAAATCTGTCAGAGAACAATCGTCTGCACCAGTCAAAATTCTATCTCGAGAACATACCTCCGTTGGCACTTCCAATGAGTGGATCGACGTATTGCAGAACATCGTAGTCTAGAGACGTGGAATTGGTCACGGCCAAAGCCAGTGGGATGCTCGAGAGAAGAAACAATGATAGAAGAGTCATAATGAGCGACCAAAAGTTGGATATATCACATAAAGAATGACAATGAAGTATAATTCATTCCATAGCCGTAGCCTACGCAAGAAAGAACGGAAACTGACTGTCTGCCAGATACAGAGTCAGGTTGAAGTCGAAAAAGCAGCATCCTCGCGTCGCACCGCATCCTTATCAAGGGGCACGCGGAGTTGGTGGGATGTTCTGCATTGTTGCATTCCTATGCCCCTGACGATCCTGAGCAAGGGTGGGTGATACATCCTGGTTAGCGAAGGATGGGTTAAATTTGAACGAACTGAAGGATCAATTATTGATTGATGGATTTGGAGGTGGAAGGTGAGAGGTGATAAATCCCCGATGTGACGGAGGTGCAGATGGATGCATTAGTGCTGTAACAGTCAGTTGCAGGAGCACATTGCATAATAAGAGCAGAAGTCCTTCATAGGTGATATTGAATGAGGAGCATTTTGAAGAGTGTTATTGTTGGAGTTATGAGAACGCTATAGGGTCCGAGGAGAGTCCGAGAGATCATAGCAGTCGGTCTCATCTCGGAGCAGACAATGAGGCTAGTCAATCAGAAGTCGATATTCACTGACAACATTTTTTTTCATGCTGTCAACCTATGTGATAGGTGCATTTTGCACCAGCAATAATAGTATTTATCAACATCAGATCATCTCCCATCAACATCCATGATACTACGGACATAGCTTACTCTATCAGCCGAGGTTCTCTGAGTGATCCGCTCCGCCATCCGCCAATCGGACTTTGCCATTTCCGCTCATTTTTGTTGCATTCATTATTGACCATTCTAGAGAGGTACTCCATATCCCCAACGGAGAAAAGACCAGGTAGATAGAGGATCTCTTGAAACGTGAAGTTGAGATCCAGAATACTCAAGGATTCAAAATTTGGGTTATATACTTTTGAAAGCTGTTGAGAGCCCCTCCATCAGTCTTATGCCCGCTTTTGGCAACCTTTACTAATCCTGACAACATCCGAGGCACTGCATCTCTTCCCTATCTCCGTGTCCTGGAGTCAGTCTTCCAGACCCATAATCAAGAAGACTTCCAACTCCAGGCCTCCATTTTCCAGCCCATCTTGTCCCCAATCATTCTGGCCATGCGGCCGCCAGTCCCGTCCAGAGCTTTCTTTCGAGAAGTCTCCACTAAGCACGGCCCGTATATTGTTTCTTGTCTGCCTACAAAGTCCCAACGCCTGCCGAAGATCCCCAATCGGACGCTCCCGCTTTCTTCAACTTGTTCACGCGTCCTTGGCCCTCGTTTACACAGACAGTATTCCACAGGTACGCATGTGATAATCTTGGATCCATCGGATGCTGTGATTCCGGATAAAACTAACTCATCTGCTGCAGCTTCAGCGCAGTCTCAAAAATCTAAACCTTACCTGCTTCTACGTCGCATTGTCGGATTCACGGCCATTGCCATCGTCGCATTTTCTACCGGACTCGCTTATCAGACTCAGAAGACCGTATCGCGCATGATGGCTGTCAGCATGCCCACCGACGAGGAAACTCTCACTGCCTTTGTACCTTCCGATGAGTTTACGAAGGAGGTCGAGGAGTACATTCGCAATCACCCTGTGACACTTGCTTTGCGCCAAAACCCGGCTTACACCGAGTCGCGACCACATTTGAAGATCCCGCAAGAGTTGCGCGCGCGTCATCTAACGGCCGGTATCCTTGCGACCCCAGGCGGAATTGTGGTGCCGCCTTATGTTTTCTGCGAGGAGGGCGGAAAGAGCCTGACCGCCATCTTTTACCTTGGCTCCGATGTCTCCGGTCATCCTGGCATTGTCCACGGGGGTCTTTTGGCCACGCTGCTGGATGAGTCCATGGCCAGGTGCTGCTTCCCCGCGTTGCCAAACAAAGTGGGTGTGACGGCCAATCTGAACATTGACTACCGGCGCCCGGCGATGGCCAACAACTATGCTATCTTAAAGGCGAAGACGGTCAAGGTGGAGGGCCGGAAGGCTTGGGTTGAGGCGCACATTGAAACTCTTCCTGAGGATGGTAAAGAGCCAGTGATACTGGTGGAAGCAAAGGCTCTGTTTATTGAACCCAAGCAAGCTGCGGTAAGTCCACTTCCGGGGAACATAGGAATAAGGTATAATGTGCTGACTTTGATTTCAGGCCATGGCGAGTCTGTACAAAGTTACCAACTAGTATGTTCAGGAACAAGCGGCTAGAAACATGTAGAGGACGGGGTTCGGGCAATATAGAGATTTATAATGTATTGTTTGTTTTGGGCGTATAGATGGGAGCATTTTGCGATACTGTACATAATTCAAGGCATATAGTTTCTAGAACAGAGAACATACTGTATTATCGAGAACAGGTTTTTACTAATATGAATGCAAACTGCATAATCGATTCACACAACGCATCTTGAATTCAAAATGCTAAAATGCTCAGGATCATCGTTGCTGTCAAGTCCGCAATATCACAGTTGTGACGCCAAACATGGCCCACCGCCTCCGCCGACGGACCTTCCGATGACCGCCAGCTCCAAGCTCCATACAAAGACTTCCAACGTCCGCCGAGCTTCTATCTGACTACCTCACTCCCTTTTGCTTGGGTGTGACGGCCCATTTTGTGGTTCTTAAAATCAACATCCCACTAGTCCTTCCTGTATCGCATCCCGACACCATGTCCAAGTCGAACAAGTACCTCCTCGTCTCGCTCCCCACATCCATCACTCCCTCCCACCACCGCGACGACGCTCTCGATGCTGTTTCTGCCACAGTATCACCCGACAATGGCTCCGTAGCACCCTTCCCCATCCCAGAATTTAAGATCGGTACCCTCGACGCTCTGGTGCAGCAAGCCGATGAGCTGGCGAAACTCGAAGCTTCTTGCCAAGGTGTCGTCGCCAAGGTCGGAGATGCGTTGAAGAGCGTTCTCGAGGGAGATGAGGGGCAGATCGATAAGATGAAGACTGTCAATGATAGTATGTCCACTGCGTCTGTCGTGGAAGGGGGAACCTGCTCGCTGACTGAACGTAGAACCCGTTGATCAGTATCTGAGGACATTCTCGTGGAATAAGGTCAAGTATCGTGCTGATAAGCCGCTGGGGGAGTTGATCGATCTTCTGCAGAAGGTATTGAGCGTGAATCTTATGACGATCCAGCCAGAGCTAATGGATAATAGGAAGCTGCTAGTATTGACAATGACATTCGGTCCAAGTACTCGCAATACAACCAGGTGAAGAATACGCTGGCGACTCTTCAACGCAAACAAACGTGAGGGCGCACCTCTTTCGCTTCAATATTCTTCTAATTTGTTTCTGATTTGTAGAGGAAACCTTTCCACGAAGTCACTCGCATCAGTCGTTGATCCCCGCACTCTTGTCCGCGACTCCGAATACATTGAAACGCACCTCGTCGCTGTTCCCGCTCAGCAAGTGAAGGAATTCCTCAAGACATATGAGACCGTGGCGCCCATGGTCGTGCCCCGATCCGCGACCCTTGTGGCCTCGGACGACGAGTTCACGCTCTACGCCGTTACGACGTTCAAGAAGCACAGCCCGGAGTTTGTCCACCGGTGTCGTGAGCACAAATGGATTCCGCGCGATTTCAAGTACGTTGAAGGTGGGAAGGAAAAAGAGAAAAAGGAGGTCGAGCGCGTTGGCGGGGACGAGCGGAAGCTCTGGGGTGAGACCCTTCGGCTTGGTCGAACAGCGTGGAGTGAGGCCGTGATGGTTTGGATCCATGTGCTTGTTCTGCGGGTGTTTGTTGAGACCGTGCTGCGGTACGGTCTGCCGCTGGATTTCGTCTGCACGATCATCAGGGTATGTTGACTCCGCAACGGTGAATGTCCGCATTTACTGACTTAAGGATGTAGACGCAATCCTCCAAACATGCCGACAGGGCTAAACGGAACCTCGATGAGAAATACTCGTATCTCGCCGGAAATGCCTTTGGGCGAGACAAGAAGGGCCGGGTCAAGCGAGACGACCCTCATGAGATGCAGGCGGGCGCAGAAGGAGGAGGCGCCGAGTACACTGCGTATGTGTACTACGAGTTTGAATTCAATTGATGGCGGGATGAAGCACTACGCTCCCGGTCTTGTCTCCCTTCTTATTTGTCTACGTTGGTACTATATACTACCCCATTGAATAGCGTACATATACAGTTCTGTATCATTTCGCATCTCTGATCCTTATATGTAGAAGCACTGGATCATTATATGTACAAATCATTGGCGAGGACGATTCTATCTGCAAGATCTATCGTGACAAAAACAACCCATCGATCTACTCCTTCTTAGGAGGCAAATACCCCTGCTCATCCAAATACGCAATAATCTGCGCAACCGCATCCCTCACGGGCAAATCATAGTTCTTGATATGCACCTCGGGCTTATCCGGTGCCTCATACGGGGCACTGATTCCCGTAAACTCCTTGATGACCCCCTCCCTTGCCTTCTTATACAGCCCCTTGGGATCCCGCTTCTCCGCCACCTCAACCGGCACATCGACATACACCTCGACGAAGGGCAGACCCGTCTCCTCACCAGGTGTCGGCACCTCGTGCAGCTTGCGCGCAGTCTCGCGGTCAGCCTTGTACGGCGAAATAAACGACGTGATGGCGATGCTGGCGCTGTCGGCGAAGAGCTTGGCTACTTCCGCAATGCGCCGGATGTTCTCGTTGCGGTCCTTTTCGGTGAAGCCTAGGTCCTTGTTGAGCCCGAAGCGGATGTTGTCGCCGTCGAGTCGGTAGGCGGAGACGCCCCGGTCGCGGAGCAGCTGGTGCTCGAGTTCGACGGCGATGGTGGATTTACCCGAGGCGGAGAGGCCGGTGAGCCAGATTGTGAGGCCGCGTTGGTTTCGGAGGGCGCTGCGCTCGGAGCGGGTGAGGGCGCTGGCGTGGTAGGTGATGTTTCTATAGATTGGTTGGGTTAGCGGGGGTTCTGAAGAAGGGTGAGGGGTGAGGGGTTAGTACGTGGCCATTGTGGTTGTGTTTTTTGGGGATTAGGATGAGAGAAGGTAATTGAATGAGAGGGAGGAGGATGAAGAATTGAAGTATGCAGAAATGGCCTGTAAAATTGGTATAAGAGCGGGGCGCTGATCGCGGGGTGAATCCGGTGAGAAATCATTACTATGGAGCATCGGAGGAAGAAGAAATGATGCCATTTTTAAGGATTCTTATTGGACTTCTACACTGTCAATGGGTTAATACTCGAATTCTTCATACTTACTTCTACCTACACAATCTGGACCAGAAGATATTAATATTTTTCTCGATTGTGTTCTCTGCGTTTGCTCCTGGACGTCATGTCAATCCCAGTATCTCTGACAAACCGATCATCGGAGCTTGCGTGGCTCTCGCCTTGACTCCAGCCACGGTGGATCAGAGCATACGTGACATTTCACGGATGACAACTCGATTTCTCGTCTCCTGTCAGTTTACTATTCTTAGGTCTACGAAGTACAACAAAACGACTGTACGCTTTGGGTCCAATGACTGTCTATCTATGTACTCCTGGCCAGGCTGATCACCTTCTTGGCCGCATCCTCAAAACTGTCAAAGGCGTGCAGGGGAAGCCCACTCTCAGCAATCTGTACCAGTCAGCTTAGTCAAGTATACCATAGTCAGTAAATTAGACTGACCATCTTCTGTCCGATCTCCTCGTTCGTCCCCCGCAGTCGTACTACCACCGGGACGTTCATTTCCAAGTCCCGAAAGGCCATGATGATCCCCTCGGCGATCATGTCACACCGAGTTAGGCCGCCGAAGATATTGACGAAAATGGCCTTGACCCGTGGATCTGATCGAATGATCCGGAAGGACGATTTGACCGTTTCGGACGTTGCTTTGCCCCCTGTGTCAAGGAAGTTGGCGCAGTGACCGCCGTGGATTGACAGGGCATCAACGGTGTTCATCGCTAGGCCGGCGCCATTGACTTATCTGGTCAGCTCTGACTGTACACTGCAGGATGGGCAAGCTCACCTAGTGTCCCGATGCTTCCCTCTCCTTGTAACCTGTATAGCGCCTTAGCACATGTAGACTGCTATCTTCAAGCCGAGACATACTTGACATAGACGATTCCGTCCTTTTCCGCTTCGACCTCTTCAGGTACCTCTTCTTCTATATCTCTGAGTCGGTGCACGTCTTCTTGACGTCCGGAGCTCCGGAACGCCGCATCGTCAAACCCGAAACGTGCACCTCGAACTTGCATCTCACCATGGCTGAAATTGACCCGGACTTCCAGTAGGTAGGCTTCCTTCTCCTTGAAGATCTCCCAAAGAGCTTGCGTAAGCTCTGCCAACTTCCCGCGTGCTGTCTCTGGAAGTTGCAGATGGGAGGCAACAGCTTCGAGGACTGGGCTGGTACTGCTGAACTCTTGTGTTGTATAAGCGAATGGAAATCTATCCGAAGACGCTTGAGCAAGATCAGGTCTTGTAGAAGCAACTATGCAGGGCGACAATGCTGTTCTGTCCACTGTCATTGTGAGCAAGACATCCGAATCCGAAGGAGCTGCCTCGTTCATCGAGATAGATTTCTGCTTCAGCATCTCGAGAGCCTGAAATTCCTTGACATAGAGAGATCGCTTTTGTATTGACCAGGACGACACACGGCTACTACCATGCGGGAGACGTCGCATTGTATGCAGGCCTCTTTTTTGGCTGCTAGAACTGATAGGCTGAGAATTATTCAGTCTCGCGACGAACTGGGCCATCAAACAATACTTACCGTAGCACTCGTCAGGGTTCTGCGAGCTAAAAGCGCCTTCATACCCTGACCAAACTTTTCTGGGTGATCGACCATTGTCACTCCCGCGCTCTCGAGAGCTCTGTGCTTGGCCACTGCATCTGGCTCTCCAGGAGCTATCCAAGCGCCGGCGTGGCCCATGACCCGACCAGGAGGGGCCTCTTGACCGCCAACAAGAGCCATAATAGGTCTAAGCAGTGTCAGTTCTCACGTATGCCAAAACATGTTCAGACCGTGCGTACTTCGGGTTGGCGGTCCGCTTGTTGTAGTCTCGAATCCACTCTGCTGCATCAATTTCCGCAGTTCCACCGATCTCCCCGACCAATATGATACCTTCTGTGTCAGGATCCTCCTCGAAGACCTTCAACGCGTCGACGAAATTGGTTCCCGCCAGTACATCTCCGCCCATGCTAATACACAGGCTCTGTCCAAGTCCAGCGCGCGTCGTCGATGCCACAGTCTCGTAGCTTAGTGTCCCTGATTTAGCTACAATTCCGACCTTCCCGGGTGAGAAACACGGTAAAGGTTGGAATCCGATACGGCACTTGCCAATTGCAGAGATGATTCCCGGGCAGTTGGCTCCTACCAGTCGCGTTTTGGACTGGGTCTGCAGCATAGAGTGTACCTGCAAGAGGTCAGCCATATGAGGTTTCAACCTTCCTCATCTACTAACACGAAGCATATCATGAATGGGAACATGCTCCGCTACAGCCACAACAAGCGGAATCTCTGCCTCAACCGCTTCCTCGATGGCCTTTGCTGTCTGGTTTCCCGGGACATAAATGGCGGATGCGTCGGGCTTGGCCCTTTCTTGAGCCTGCATCCATGAGCATGTGTCCATGATGAATTGAAGAGCCAGAGGGTTATTCGCACCGCTCGCACTGAAGGAAACACAGGAAGTCCTAGATGCTCACCCTCCACGCCGGGCTTTACACCTCCTACAATCTTCGTACCCCATGCGAGAGACTCCTTGACATTCGCGGTGGCCTTTGATTGTCAATATGACACCATTCCGACGCCCTGGAGAGTCATAGTCTACACATACCTGCCGTCCTGCAAACATTAGTTCATACCGCCGAATGTCACGCAATCTAGAACGCACCGGTGAATCCCTGAAACAAGACTCTTGTATGCGCTCCTATCTTGAGATTCGGAAGGGTGTCCGCATAGCTGGACTTCCTTGATGATGTTGAGAATCGCGAAAGTCTCAGAATGGAAGTTCTCTGTGCCCGTAGAGGCAGGGTCCGTAAACCCGTCATCCTACTGGAAATGGCAAGAGTTAATATAAACAACACTCCTAGATCAAAAGACACTACGCCTCCAGAAAGTACCCCTGAGGTAGAGATGAAGGGTTCTCTAAACGTTCAACCAGCAATCGAGTTGAGGGCGAGCAGATAACCAACCTCCCCTCAATAATGGTCCATCACTCATGGAGAAGAACCGGTTAAGTAGCGTTTGATGGAGCATAGGAAACCTCGGGAAAGCAGCTGCAAGCCGCCGGTCTCGGAGAACCCCGCCTGTCATTTTCGAGAAGATCTACATCGTCTGATTGGCCTTCTCGGAATGGGCATATTAGTCCTCTACTCGGGATACTAAATAGCGGGGACCGCCTCACGTGCTCTGTCTTCGTCGTTCGAGAGAGCATTCGATAGTAGATATCCATTCATAAGGGCCTAGTAGAGAGTGTAGGATAGATAGACAAGCAGTGAAAACGGACCAGATATATTCCGCTCAACACCAAAGTTCAATCTGATTTCATACGTGCGATTGGGCCTTAGGATCTCCAATTGCTGTAGATAACCTTGATCGTAACGACGGAGGACGATCGAACGATCTGCTGAATCTCAATGACTTAAAAGGAGAGCTGTACTCGGATCAATGGACGTAAGGCAGTAAGTAAATCAACAGTTAGACTGTCCGTACGATGTGGACAGCAAAGAGCCAATCAACTGCTGCAACCCCAAATACTCGGCGGGGCTCAACTCCGTGACTGACGCCATTCATTCCTTTGTTCCATCGGAGAGCTCAGTGCTATTAATATCTGCATTCTGGATTCAGATCTTAGAGTCTCGAGCGTCCATCGATTACCTACGTCGAATATATATATATATACTTTATATATAGCTCAGGACCGGCTGGCATGGCCGCAAAATCCACACAGATATCCCAGGGTCGGTGTATATTCTCCATTGCAATTTACCTCTCTAATTCCCCCTTCTAAACGAGCTATCCACAACGTATTCTTGGACTCTACGCCTCTACCCTCACAGCAAACTACCTCGAACCACACTAACCCAATGTCAATTCCAGCAGCCAGCCCGGAGCTCGAACAATCCGTCCGCCAACTCTCCCTCCGCGACAATGCCCCCATCAAAGACATCCCCCGCCCAACAGTGAAGACACCCACCAGCAAAAAGAAGGCCCCCGTCGTCGCAGACTCCTGGGAAGACGAAGCAGACTCTGACCCCTCCCTGTCCGAGGTTGAGCAGAGCCGCTCGTCGTCCGCAGCTACGCCTGATCTCTCAACACTCTCGCCCTCCGTCAGCGCCAGCGCAGAAGGGCCGCTCGATCCTCCCCCGACGCCTATCTCACCGCAGACGTCCCAGCCCTGGGTGTCGAGCGCGCCCTTACCGGGGCGTGGGTTGAGCTCGTCCCCACCGCAAGGGTCAGGGGCTAGGTCGCCGGCGAGGAGGCCGGAGAAGCAGACTGCTGTTGCGGGAAGGCTGATTGCGGGCGCGTTGGGGATCCGGGCTCCAAAGAGGACGGAGGAGCAGCGCGCGTATGATCGGGCGATAAAGGAGCAGGAGCTTCGCCGGCGGAATCGGGAAAGGGAGGAAGAGGCGAAGAGGAAAGAGGAGGAGGAGAGGGCGAAGGCCGCTGTTTGGGATGAATGAGTATATTGGGCTTTATATGTTTGGATGCAGTGTCTTATGTCTTGGGGTTTATACAGATTTGGTCTCGATGGCGGGTTTCTGAGTAGTTTTGGTCTTCATCTCTTATCATGTTCCGGGGAGAGCCTGCAACTCTATATACTCTAATACCGTCTTGGTTCGCGACTAAGAATGCCAATGCCAGCATTTTATACGAAAGAAATTTTCATGAAAGGACATATATGATTCATAACTCATTCGCGTCAGACGCCATGCAATGTGAAGTGTTCAGAACGGCCTATTTACGTTATCTTAACTCTCTTAGCTTTTTCCACTTTTCAACGCATGTAGCGAGTCTGTATTCCCAAAGCAAAACCACAAATCTGAAAGTCAGAAGAGCACTCAGATCAAGCAAAGCTTGCCGGGCCCGGGGCCAACGAAAACACCTCTACTCCGGTTATCTCTCAAAATGCGAGCAATGAAAAACAGAAAGACAATGAATTCACTGTATTGGAGGCTCCCAGCAACCCTGTCTAACCGCCAATCTGCTCCTGGTGCACCTCCAGAGTATCGCCATCGGCCATGTCCAGCTGTATTGAAACGGATCATTAGTCTATGTTTTCGTAGACAACAGACAGAGGGGAAAGCGGCACGTACAGAGTCAGGTGTGTCTTCGGGACGCACGCGGGTACCGTCAAACAGGAAACGGACGGTAGACAGCTGCTTTCCCTGGCGCTCGCAGAAGGCGTCCATGAGCTTTTTCAGCTGTGTTGTGCGCTTGATCTTGAAGAAGACCTCGTTGTTATTATCGGTGACCTTGATGTTGAGGTGCTCAACCGGGGCGGGGGCTTCGCTTGGTGTTCCGTTGTCGGCCATGCTGGCGGGTAATCAGAAGATAGACAAGAGGATGAAAAGACTGCTGTTGCTGGGAATTCCTGAGATTGGCATGACTTGTCAGTGTTCGTCCCGAAGTGGGGAAGTCGCATACAAGGTGAAGGAATATCGATGCCAAAGTAGGAGATTTAGACTCACCGGTAACTCTTGAGGGCGAGTATAGAGATCAAGAAGCGCTAGGAATGAGCAGAGGGGAAAGCGAAAAGAACTGGATAAGTGAAAGAGTATTGGAGCCGTAAGAGTAGCCCGCGCTGAAGATGATGGAAGGCGACGGACCCCACCGCCAGTGAAAGAGTCGCGGAGAATCTATTTTGCGGCGCAGGTCCAGCATCAAGCAGGTTGGATAGAGGCATTAGGTCAGTATAATATTGTAGGCTTTTGGCATTGGAAACAATTCATTTACAATACCTCAGATATCTTTATAGAGGCTCTATTGTTTCATTCAGACCGCTTTGAAAGGCCATAGTATCCCAATCCGAGACTGTCACTTGTATTGTCCCAGATTTAACTATTGCGTCATGGTAAGAGGGTTATGAATGTGAAGCCAATTGAGGCTCAAAGTGAGCTAACAGCAATTGAACCGCAAGGGCAACTTGAAAGATGATCTGGCATACGATCCTCCGTGTCATCCAAGAGCTGTAGGTCAAATACATCCTCATCTAGCAAAAAAGATATGTTTGTACTGACCAACCTAGTGCGCCATTCAAGGTACTTCTGATCACCTATGGATAGCATCATGGCCCAAACGGTCAACACTCCAGGCTGACTCGAGTAGCTTGCCTAACCAAGAATTCATACAAAGAAGAGAGATGCCAGTCTCAGATCAATGCCTTGTACGAGTGCTGTAATGCTTTCTATCAAGAGAAAGGAGAGGATGCAAAAACTCCCAGTTGCCCTAAACCAAGCTTGCTGAAGCTGAGGATGAAGCAACAATCTCAAGGAAATTAGAAATCTTATAGAGCGAAGCTGTCATGAAATACAAATCGTTGTCGATAGGTCTACGGTAATAATAAGTTGATGCCGGTCAAGAGCAATGCTGGCGAATTTTCCAAAGTATGTGACAGATTCCTTTGCAGTCTCAGCTCCCACGATGAGAGAGCTAGGCTAGTTGAGGAACTGCCAGATTGCTCTAAGACAATCTTGAGCACGCAAAGAGGCCGTATGACCTGAACGAAGATAGAGAAGCTGCTCGTCCCGAGACTCTAATGATTGCCTATAAGACATTTGATGAAAGAAAAGAAGAAGAAGAGAAAGAAAACAGATCGTGGGAATTGAAATTTTATGCGTGTCTGCGTATCTACGCTAGTCCATATCAGGCTTAGTTACCAAAACAACGCCCAGCCAACGGGGAATCAAACTTTCCCTGGGCAGAAGTGCTGGAAGTCATGTCCCAAACCCTCTGGAGCTAGCTATTATTATCGTTAACACTTACTCTTCTCTTTTACAGAACGCATCCCCTAAAGCGGAGGCTCTCTAGTCACTCCGGACATCAGAGGGATTGATATCATCTTTTCAAGACGCTCACTGCGTCCGTCTTCTTCATGGCTCCTTTGTCCACGGCGGTGGGCTCTAAAGCTGCCACTGCTGGCTTTACATCGGTCAATGTTCGTTCTTCCGTTGGGTTGCGCAGGCTGGCCATATTACTATGCTAACTGCTGTGTTGTCTCCAGTCACACCGTAATACCTTTAACGATCCTGAAATTATTGAAATCGATGACGATGACGATGACGACGAACCCATGGGGGATGAGGAAGGAGACGAAGAGGAAGAAGGCATTAATGACGGAGATGAATACGAGGACGAAAGCGTGGAAAACGGCGACGAAGAGGACGAACCGGAGGAAGAGTCCGCTGAAGATATGAATGGCACCGAATCGCCGTTAGAGCTCGTTCCTGCGCCGAATGGCCGAGGTATATTGTTCTAGGTATCCGGAAACTGGCGAGGAAATGCTGACTCGATCTGGTGCAGGTGGTTCGGACGTGTTCACACCCGGTTTGTTCACATCTGCCGGCGCACAGCAAGCGTTACATCCCCTTCGCCGCACAGCGGACCGTGTGACGCGCCAGATCGAAGCTTTTGTGGAGAGGTTGGATCGCTTCAAGCAGAAAGGTCGCACCGACGATTTTGGAAATTACCAAGCTGCGTATCAATTGGTGAAGAGCTACCAAGTTCTCGCGCAAGATGCGATCCAGGATATCTCGAAGCAGAACACCCTGAAACGCGCGAAAATGGGCTGGAGCACAAGTCGAACCAACGGCACCGCATCGCATGATCCCAAGATAGAGGAGGAACTGCAACGGTTACAGCTCGAGGCAAATACTTGGCAGCTTCTTCTCAACCTCATCAGCATTGACGATCCCCCCAGCAAAGCCAGCTGCAAGAAAGCGCAAGAGACTGTTTTCCAGAAGCTCCATCGGTATTCGTCTGATCGCGAAGTCTGGGAAAACTTCCTCAGCGCGGACCATTACGCGCTCGAATGCGTGATTATCATGAAGTGGCTGGAGCACACGGCGACGACTAGGCCTCAGGATATTGATTCGCTGATCTCTGAGCTTGAATCGCAGGCGGAACGAGGACAGGGACACTGGACACATGGCTGGCTCTACACGAAGGAGACCATCAAGGGACAGAAGAGACTTCGTGCTTGGCCTCAGCCTCTCGAACCCAAGGACCCTGGCATCACAGCGTCTCTGTTGACTTCCGACGTCTCGAAGCCATTGATTACGCAATTAGATCCGGATGCTGTGACTCGGCAGAAGCAGCACCTTCAGAAGCAGGATCAATTCTATGAGCGCGCGACTTGGATGACCTGCTGGAAGATGTTGAGACAGGGAGAGAATTGGACCAAGATCCGGGAATGGGCCGAGGAACGACTGGAAAACTGGAAGGCTGTCAGTTTATGTGGCTCCAGTGTTGATCCCGAGTCCGGGGGCGAGCGGACACCTGTTGATGATGGAATGACGCGCATGATGAACTTTCGCTCTCAGGAGTCCTGGCGAGCGGCCTGCTCTGCTTTGGCGCGGAATCCCAACATCGAGGACTTTGAACGGGCGGTCTATGCGCTACTCTGTGGGGAGACCGAGGCCGCATTCAAAGTCTGTCAGAGCTGGGATGACTACCTCTACGTCCACTTCAACAGTGTGGTCCTGTCACGCTATCAAGGGTTTTGCAAACAGTTCCGGCGCAAGCTGAGCCACTCGCCTACGGCGCCGGTTAACTTCGTTCCTGAGCCCGTCGGATACAGCGATTTCAACAAGTTTGTGCAGTACATGAAGGGCAACGAACGCATTGGAGTGGAGGCGCGCAACCCGTACCGCACGATTCAAGCTGCGATGCTAGGCAAAGGATATGACACATTTTTCTACTCGCTAGCCAAAGCAGTCTCGCAAGTTGCGAAGACGGGCTCTGAAGATTCATTTGTGCCGGATCTGTCCCCAACCCATGTGGACGACTCGCTACTCATCGCCGCCGAGGACGACGATGCACTACGGATCGCAACGCATCTTTACATCATCGCCAGCTCCATTGGCTACATCCGTTCTGACACCCAGTTCTTTGAGACGGCATCTGTAAATGTCATCGGTTACATCGCAAATCTCGAGGATGCTGGCATCTACGAGGCGATACCGCTCTATGCGTCCCTGCTGCCTGCTTCGCAGACACACTCCGTGCTTGGCCGCGTGCTGATCGAGATCCTTGACCCGAGAGAGCGGAAACAGCAAGTTCGATTGATCGAGAAATACGATATAAACATCGAGGCCGTCTTGGAAGACCAGTGGAATTGGATCAGCAGCACTGTCTCTGCCGTTGAGCACACAAGGACAGTGAAGCGTTATCCCAAAGTTGTTCGCAGAGACGACGGAACCCGCGAGTTGGTACCAGTCAAGACAGACTTTATCGGAACCGAGATCTCTCGTTCAGACGAGCGGTTGATTCGCAGTCTTGAATGGCTCCGGTACGTTGATGGACAATGGGGCAGGATATGCCACCTTGGCGCTTTTCTGTATAGAAAATTCTATTGTGAGTCGCCCGTTTTTTGTTGGCTACGGCAACAATACTAACGTCTCCCGGCAAAGTGTCCGGAAAACTTGCTGCGGCACGAGAGTTGAGCCGACGTATGAAGCTATCCGACATATCGCGTGAATCGTTTGGTTTCGACGTGGCGGAGTTTGGGTACGGTATTCCAAACGGAAGTGACCGTGCGACTCCAGAGCCCAGTAGCCCAACAAAGTCGAGATTGTTGGGGTCTGCGCACAAACGGAATCGGTCTATCCCCAACGGCATCCCCTCAGATGAGCAAACAAATATTCTTGTGATGCAGTCGCAAACGATGCGAGACTTGGAAGAGCTAACGCTGGCGTTTGACGGGTTGGAGCGATTCGGCTTGTGCTGGAAGAAAATCGATAAGTGCGTATCGAACTATGTCTGGAACCGGATGGTCTGCTGACTGATGCCGCATTTAGGAGCAAACGCAGACGGGATTCTGGCGCGATTAAGGATCTTAGGGATGAGTTGCAATATACTCTGGATGAGATTAGCATGCACGTGGACGCGGTGCTGGACGAATGGCTGACTGCGCCCGCAGACGGTAAGCTTTTGTCTCGCTAGACTTGGGAGTTGGGAGACTTGCTAATGAATTCTTTCGGTATAGAAGCGGAAGAGGCCGAGCTGGAAGAAATCCGCGTCACCTACATCCCCGAGCTGTTCCTGGACTATCACAATGCGCTGTACTTTTCCGCCCATGTACTCACCAGCGAGATCTTGGTGCAGTGCATGAACCTGGCGATGCAAGTATCCGAGAACGAATACCTGACGCGCAGTTTTGTGTCATCGCGCCGGATGGCAGAATTGGTTGACGCGTTGGCGCTGTCCAGCAAGGCGATGGTTCAGACCCGGGCCAAGCCTGGGCAGAGACTACTGGGAGGCGAGTCGCTTGGCATCTGGACAGTGGAGGTTCCCGAGGATGAGGAGCATGAGTTTCTCCGTCAGGCCAAATGATGTGAAATACCCACACATTGAATGTATGTATTATAGGTGGTATTGGCTTCCATGGATGGGTTGTTGCAGGAGGGTAATCGGGTAGAAACAATTGCATTCGGGCTGGCCTTGGGCATTTGCAGCGCTTTCGACATACACATAACAGATGAATGGACATTGCAAGTTCTTACAAATTCATTTCCCGCTCGCTACCTAGGTATGCTCTAGGTAAGTTCTCACTCATACGGCGCCATCAGCTTATTCCCCATGATCTTCGCCGGAAACTCCTCCTCCCCCAGCGTGGTGGAATGCGCCCACGGCTTCAGCCCGTTCTCCTTGCGAATGACCCCCGCAAAGCAACTACTCCACTGCTTCCGGGGATAATTCGCGCAGACATCCTCGATCGTCTGCGGATCGACGAGGTGCTCATTGGCGCCGGTATTATCTACCCGCGTTATCAACCACTGAAGGGGAAGTTTAGCATATTACATACCCAGCAACGTCGCCAACTGCAACAACTGCCCCAGCGCCGTGATCATACCCTTTTCGCACACATCCTGGTGCCGAATGATCGCCTCGGCGACACTCTCCGCCTGCTCCCTCGGCGCGACGGTCCCGATGCCTGCGCCGTCCCCCGAATGGCCGGCGGGATGCTCCACGCTCGACTGCAGGACCTCGAGGGCGAGAAAGCCGCCGTAGAACTCGAAGCTCAGCCGGGTCTTGCGCGTGTTCTTTTCTGTTGTGCCGAGGTCATGGAGCAGGCAGGCGAGGAAGTAGGTCTCGTCTGTGAAGGACCAGGTGGGGAAGGCGTGGCGTTTGATGGCGAGGCCGAAGTGGTAGACGCGGAGGGAGTGGTGGTAGGTTTGTTCGGAGAGATTGGCGCGGGCGTAGTCGTCTATGCGGGTTGCGAGGGGGGTCGATGGGATGGGAGTTTGAGTGGTTGGGACGAATGGGGGTGGTGAGCTGGGGATGTTGCCGTTGAAGAGGGTGGTGCAGGAGGAGGGGACGGCGGTTAGGCCGTATGTTGTTACGGGGTCGAGGACGGTGGTCATTGTCGATGGTTATTCAGATAGAATTGGTGGTGTAGTGTGGTGATGTTGGTGCTACGGTGGTGGCCGCTACGATACGTGGAGAGATAGAGATGGAAGGGTACTCGTATGAATGATCTCATTGCCATCTTTGGTTGTCCTACCTCATCTACACAAGCAGAGGGCATTATCTTTCTGTTGCTATCGAAGTTGAGTTCTATACTGCAAGACAAGACGGTGTACCTCATCCGCAGTAGTCAGAGTGAAACCTTCTAGAACACAGTCATCTTCCATGATCTTCAGCCAAGCTACCCTTAGTCTCCGTTTTAATTCACTTATCTCATAAAGTCATGTCTATGGAAGATTGAGAACCTCCCAATATCATGTCTATGTCATGATGACATGAATTCATACATGTTGGTAACCATAGCTATCATTTATGGAACCAGAAAGTAAATATACGGTACCTCTCTACCTTAGTAGTCGAATAGATAGATACTAACTTACAGACTATCGAATTGGCATCCAATAACCACTTATCTAGACAACAAATGAGATAGCAAAGACAGACAAGATGCTGGCAAAGGGTGATAGGCTAAAAGCTGGGCTCTTGAATATTGGTCAGTTATCTTCCGTAGCTATAGCTGTGTTATGATACGAGTACGCCCCGTACGGAGACCGAGAACAGACGTCGACGACCTATGGGTCTGAAACTGCACAGCCCACTTGCCAAGCCCATCAATCATTTCCGAACAAGGAGATAGGTGGGCCAGGTGCCGGTGGTTTGTATGGACTTGGTGGTGAGCAGCATTTCTTCTGGTTTTGCAAGTGATGTCCGATAGAAAATCATGACCATAGTATTAAGGGACCATGAAGTATGGAGTATGGAGTACTCCGTACCTAGGTAGAGAATCAATTAACAACCTGGGATACTACTATGCTCGAGTCATCTTCAAGGGCTGGAGGAATAATAGACTTTCGGCTGCGTCAGTGGTTATTCTTCCTGATGAGGTATCATGGTAAACGGAATTTTGATCAGCAAATGCGAATCGGCGCGATGGATTGATGCAGAAGATTGTTGTTTGGTAGGGCGTGTCTGTACGGAGTATATGAGTTGATGTCGTGGCAATGGTACGTTGCATTAATTTCAAGTACCTTATGATTGTGCTTGCATTGATTCAGGAGGCAAAGTTCGCGAAGTACGTAGTACCCCTATATACGGAGTAGTAGACTACTCACCCCTAGTTGTACTTGTACCTGACAAGAAAATAGTCAAGGCAATTCAGTGAGTTCCCTCTCGGTAGGAAGTTGCTTGGTTCTGAAAAGAAGAAACCAAGAAATATGAAAGTCATGGCGGATGAAACTATTGATTGGGGGAAAAGGAGGTGGTGTCATGGCGAAGCGAAGGGGAGGCGATTGAGGCAGTGCAAATGCAATGCCAAGTCAAGTACCAATTCCTGCACCAGACCTTGTCTCCTTGGAATCAAGGAGACGTGGCAAGAGAATTAATCCATTATTGACCTTTGCAATTAAACCTGATTTTGATACTCGTCCTCGTCCGGGTTTCAATCATCTCTCTCCCTTTACCATGTTATATACCTAAGATTATATAGGCAGACCTGGGGATAACTAGGCAAGGAGGAGAGTCCCTAAGTCCGTGACATGCGTCAGTTCTGCAAGCAGTTAAGATTTAAATTTTAAGCAGCTTGTTTTTCGTTACCATACCGCCGGTCTCGATCCCGGAGCGGGTCCGACTGGGGCTTTGCGGCGGCAGGGCCCCTGTTTCATAGCCTGTCATTGGTGGTCAGAGTGGGATCGATGGAACACACTTAAAAGATGTAATTGTAATTACAGGATTACCTACCCAGGACCTCTTGTAGCATTGAAGCACTTCTCCAGTAGGTAGGTAGTGCATACAGTTTCTCCTCCTGCTGTCTACCTCATTGTGTGCTATTGAGCCCTGAATCTGTAGCATCACGGATATTACCGCATTCTCAGGACTTTCCTTCATGATCTGAATAGTACCAACTGCAGCACTGTTGGAGACATTTAGTCCTCCATCGACAACAATCAGCAACTCCTGACAACATTGCCTCGCGAAGAATCCTCGTCTGCCCATCTGGAATTGTGAGCGGCTGTTCAACTGATGTGGAAGGTCACCGGGATTTCTACGGCTTCCACGCGTGCCTCTATCTTCTTCGTGCCAGCAGGAGATTCGTCCGCTCAATTCTGCATCAACTCATGAGCTTTCTCCCTGATTACGTGCTCCTTATGTATATCTGAGCTTGGTTGCGCCGTCTTTGAAACCTGGAATGTTGCCCTGCCCCTTGTCACAATTTCCTTGTATGTTTTAACGTGACTGCTTTCATTCGCTCCTTCCCGGGCATTCCTGACCAAGAGTCTATCCCTTCCATACCACACCATTACCCAAACTCTCTCGGAATCCGCTCTGCGGGCTCCAAATCCTGGGCCATCATGTCATCGGATCCAAACCAAGACGCGAAGACTCCGCTCCGACGAGAACGAGCCCCCACTATCACGATAGATACATCTGCTGTGACGTCGACCCCGGATCCGTCACAACCTACCCTACAAGTCTCGACCGAGCCTGTGGATGCGAGCGATACTAGCGCTCTGTTATATAACGGCTCTCCATCGCCGACGGATCTGCATTCATCGGCCTCGATTCGCTCATCAGCTTCGTCGGAGGGCCGGGACCATGAGAGTAGGCCGACGTCGCCGCACAACGTATCGTCTCCCACGTCGAAACTGGCCGAGTCGATGTCCAATTCCAATTTCCTTTCAGTTCCTGGCACGAGGTCTCGTGGAAATTCACTTGAGTCTGAAGACTCGAGCCAGACCGCCAGCACCTATGGAGGAGAAACGTATGTTGGCCCGCCATCGCAAGGAGCCCGTCCGGAAAATGGGAATAAGAACGGCGCCAACGATAAAATTCTCAGTGATGAGGAGGCTCTTAAGCCGGACCCTGGTCGCGAGGCCGAGTTCCAGGTGGAGGATAACAGATTCGCCTTCTCCCCTGGTCAGCTGAATAAACTCCTGAATCCCAAGAGCCTCGGCGCGTTCCACGCACTGGGTGGATTGCAAGGATTGGAAAAGGGGTTACGTACGAACCTGCGCAGCGGCCTGAGTGTGGATGAAACTACACTGGAGGGGACCGTGAGCTTCGAAGAGGTTGCATCCTCGGGTGCTCAGAACACCGTTCCCAAGTCTGATTCTGACCCCCCGAATCAGGGGCCACCAGCCAGATCTAACACAGCTCCTGCGAAGCGACACGACGACGCGTTCTCGGACCGGAAGAGAGTATACGGCCTCAATAAACTTCCCGAGAAGAAGCCTAAGAGTATTTTGGAACTTGCGTGGATTGCATACAACGACAAGGTCTTGATTCTGCTGACCATTGCCGCCGTTATTTCGCTTGCCCTCGGTATTTACCAGTCCGTCACAGCCACAGATGGGGAAGCTCGGGTTCAATGGGTAGAAGGTGTTGCCATTATTGTCGCTATCGTGATCGTGGTAGTCGTCGGTGCTGCCAACGATTGGCAAAAAGAGCGCCAATTTGTGAAGTTGAATAAGAAGAAGGAGGACCGACACGTCAAGCTCATCCGTTCCGGCAAGACAGTGGAGATTTCAATCCATGATGTTCTGGTTGGTGACGTGATGCATCTCGAACCCGGAGACCTCGTCCCAGTCGACGGTGTCTTCATCACTGGTCACAATGTCAAGTGCGACGAATCCTCCGCCACAGGTGAATCCGATGTCTTGCGCAAGACGCCCGGTAGCGACGTCTACCAGGCCATCGAACGCCATGAGAACCTCAAGAAGCTTGATCCGTTCATTGTTTCCGGTGCCAAGGTGTCCGAAGGTGTGGGAACGTTCTTGGTCACTGCTGTCGGTGTTAACTCAACATATGGTAAGACATTGATGTCCCTGCAAGACGAGGGCCAGACGACACCGCTGCAGTCGAAGTTGAACGTGCTTGCGGAGTATATCGCCAAACTTGGTCTGGCAGCCGGTCTGCTGCTGTTCGTCGTGCTGTTCATCAAGTTCTTAGCCCAATTGAAGGATATGCATGGTGCCGACGCGAAAGGTCAGGCCTTCCTCCAGATCTTCATCGTTGCAGTCACCATCATCGTCGTTGCCGTTCCCGAAGGACTGCCTCTCGCTGTCACACTTGCGCTCGCGTTCGCTACGACGCGAATGTTGAAGGACAATAACTTGGTGCGTTTGTTGAGGGCTTGCGAAACCATGGGCAATGCAACTACCATATGCTCGGACAAGACTGGTACGCTCACGGAAAATAAAATGACTGCCGTTGCCGCTACGCTGGGCACTTCCACGAAGTTTGGAGACAAGTCCGCTGGAGTGTCTTCCGGCCAGGCCAATGGAGACCATAATGCCACCAACTCGTCCGGCAGTATGTCGCCATCTGAGTTTGCATCAAGTCTCGCGGCGCCGGTGAAGGCGCTTCTGCTTGATTCGATCGTTATTAATTCCACTGCATTCGAAGGAGAGCAGGACGGAACAATGACATTCATTGGATCCAAGACCGAGACGGCCCTTCTCAGTTTCGCGCGGACTTACTTGGGTATGGGCTCGATTAGCGAGGCGCGATCGAATGCCGAAATCGCTCAGATGGTTCCGTTCGACTCAGGACGTAAATGCATGGCCGTGGTCATCAAGCTTGAAAATGGGAAGTACCGGATGCTGGTCAAAGGCGCGTCCGAAATCTTACTTTCGAAATCTACACGCATCATTCGTGATCCTACCAAAGAGGTATCCGATACGTCTCTCTCAGAAAAAGACCGGTCCGTCCTGGAGAACGTCATTACGCACTACGCTACCCAGTCGCTCCGGACCATTGGCCTGGTGTATCGTGATTTTGACCAGTGGCCCCCTCGTGGAGCGCCTACCTCAGAGGAAGACCGTTCGCTGGCCCAGTTCGACCCCTTGTTCAAGGACATGGTACTGTTGGGTATTTTTGGTATTCAGGACCCTCTGCGACC